TCTATCTGTTCTAAGCAGGTCTCAGCGCTCCTCCGCCTTCGCTTCCACTTCGTTCCTCCTCCTAATTTCCATTCCCATCGGTGCTTGGCCCTGGCATTGTTTATTATATCATCATAACGCCAACTGTTAACTGACTGTGACCGTCTGCCTCTGACTAAGAGTTCACCTGGAAAGTCACTGCCCCTGCCGGCAGGGGCGATACTCTGGCAGCTCGACTGGGATGGGGGCCATAAAGAGAGGTTGTGTTATCAAAACTAGAACAACTTGAATGTAATTAATAGACTTTACTGTTGGGAATTAATCATGGCTTGGCGAAAGCAGAAAATACTTTGTTTCATTTTAAAATTAATTTCATTGAAAATATGAGAAATGTGATGTTATTTCAGGGTACAAAATAACAACAATAAATGACAATGACATGAAACTTTTAAATATGTTTTAAAACTAAAATGAGTGTTTATTTAATTCAAATCATACCTTAAAAAATATTGTTCCTTATTCTCTTTTTTATTAATAACTGAAAGCAACTGTATATCTTCTCATTTCTGTTGTTAGAGCATATAATCTTCGCTTTATTCCGCGATTCCTAATGCGGTTTCCTGTTGTCATTCCCATTCGGATGCTTATTCGCTCGCATTGCCACACATTTTGGGCCTTTTGTGTTCTTTTGGCCATTAGACAATGTTTAGGGTTACATTTGTGAGTGCTTTTAATTTAATTTGCCTCCAGAGTTCGCTGCCATTTTATTGTTGTTGCTGCTGCCACTTGGCTTTTCCACTTGGTGTGTATTTTTTGCCACATTTTGCGGTTTTGGGTTTATGTTTTCAACATTTCTCTGCTGCGGTTTAACAAATTTTCTGGAGATGTGGCCGGGACTACTGGCCTGGGTCTTGTCTTGGTCTTGGTCTTGGTCTTGTCTCTCCATACAGGTTATTTTCTTGCTTCTCTTGGGCTGCCGTACACTTGCTTAGATATAGATATGGTCTTGAAACGTTAGCAAACTCGCACACACACTCACACACAGGAGGGGGGTCGATGGCTAGGTGGGTTCGTTTCGTTTCGTTTCCACCAAGGCAGAGGCAGAGGCAGAGGCCTAGCTCCCCAGCCTTAGCTATAGTCCCGGCTCCATCCCATGTCCATCTCCATTCCGTCCACATTTATGGCAGTTGGCAGCTAGAGCTAGAGCCGCAGCCGCAGCCGCAGCAAGGTGTTATTTTCATTTCTAGGTTACTGACCCATGTCACATGTGTGTGCGGAAAATTCAATATTGCTGTGAAAAATACTTACACAACTATTAAATAAAGACATGGCCAAGACGGAGACGCAGACGGAGACGGAGAGGGGGACGGAGTGCCCAGCTGCCTGGCTTGTACTTAATAATTACGCTCATTTCATGCATGCAATGTTTGGATTCTCGAGAATCGACCGCCCACCATGTCCCTCCCTTCGCCGCCCTACTGCATCCATCGCTTCGGCTCGTCTCGTCTCGTCTCTTCTCGTCTGGTCCCGTCTCTTGTGGATTTTCCAGCTGGAAATGAAAGAAAGAAAAATTCTTCGACAGCTGCCGTTGGCAGTTCTTGGTTTTGGCTTAATTAATTACCGCATTCCATAGACTTTAGCCAACAAAGTCGTCTAGCCATTGGCTCTCGGCTTCGCTTGCTGCTTTCGTGGTCCAAACGAAAGACTTAAGGCACAAACTCGCCTAGCTTTCCACTTCCTACTCGATAATCGATTGAGTTCGTACATGTCATTTGCAGCGCTTTTGTGGCATTGTTGACAGCACAAAACGATTCCGAATGAAAATGACATGATGTGCACGCCAAGATCGGGCTTAACCAGAGCAGACTATCGGCTATCGACTGCGTATAAGTCCGACTCGAATGAGGCCTCATTGGCATGACAAATTGCGACCCATTAATCTTGACACGGACTTTCACTTTGCCCCAGCTCAGGCCCAGGCCCAGGCCAAGGCCCAAGCCCAAAGCCCGTAGTTCACACACGACTGGCAGAGATCTTCCAATGGATTTATATTATGCAAATGTCAATCAGAGAAGCGTTGACAGGATGCTAAAAACTGGGGCCAACACTGGAATTTAACTAAATGCAAAAGCAAAATTTTGCGAGGATTGAAATAAAAGGGATTCTTCCTTTTGGGTTATTATAGAATAGATTTTATTCTGGACCTAACTCGAAAGAAACTTTCCTAAGATCCAACTTTAATAGAAAATCTACAAATATCTTAAACTAATTTCTCGGCAAGTATTTCTTCGAATGTAACGCCTTACTTAAAATGTACAATGTTTCTCTGGGAGCCAGCATAATTGGCAATATATTGGCAGCATTTTGTAGCCAGCTCCGGCCATTGTGTTACCCATTTAAATTAACGATTCGAGATTTGATTCACGTGTAAACGATTAATCAAGTTTCAAGCGGTGATTCCGACTCCAACTGGCTCTGCCCCGTCCTCCTGCTTCATGCCACTTCGGCCTCCATCTCCATCTCCATCTCCATCTCCGTCTGCGGCTACAACTTTGTTTCCGTCTTCATCTCCATCGCCACATCTTGGCCAGCAGCCGCAGAGTGCCACTTGCTGCGTTGGGTTACCCAGCCGCGGGGTTGAGGAGCTGGCTAAATGGGTCAGTAAGGTGGAATTCGATTTTCGGCTTACATCGAACGCTTAGAGCCAAATTAAATATTGATAAAAAAAAGATGTCATGGGGAGTTTTTATGGCAGAATTGAGATATTTTAGTTTCGGGCTAAATTGGCAGACCCATAACAGTTGGAATTAATAAAAGGAAAAATAGGTGGGTTAAAAATAAAGATAGAAGCAGCGTAAAATTGTCTTATAGAACCAGAGAAGCTAGCTTTTTACATATTTTTTTACTGCTGAAAGTTTTTTAGTTTTTCTTGTTTTCCCCCGCAAATCCTTTTAATTCCTGTATCAACTGATTACTTTATGTGTTGGCTACAACTTCATTCGCTGCTGATTTATGATCGCTTGGCCATGGCAGTGTTAAATGATCTTGGCTAAATTGATGTCTGAGTAATTCAGTAGTAACATCCCAGCAATCGGCATGGATCCACAAACCCCGATCTCCAATCCCCGCTCCCCGATCCGTCGACAATCGCCGATCAGTGTTGAGTATTCTGTCATTGAACTGCTCTGCTGTGCAGGAATCCACTCGGGGATCCATTTATCAGCGCGCAGTCAGGCATGAATGAATGTGCCCCGACTTTTCGCCATGATCAGCGATCGAGAACCCGGCACAACGTTCGTTGAACTGCACTAAACCGATTGCTAGGCCATTTACACTGTTCGAGTGTTAATTTTTCAAGCCGGTTAGCTCTAGCCGGCAATTTGAGTTGAATTTGATAGGAGTTGAGGGATAGCATCATGCTAATCGCCTCAGTTCGCAGTAATCTGAGGTGATCAGCAGGGATCTCGGCCAGAACATAAACATCAGCCTGCAAGATAAGTGATTACTAATTACCCATGTTCTTGATCGACTGAACATGCATAATGTTTGAGAGATCATTGATTTGCTGTGACATTTCGATATATATTTTATTGCTTAACGGAATTTTGGTGACTAAATTGAGGTAAGCTCTGATTCCATATATAGTTTGTTATTTAACTTAATTACACAAAGTAAAATCTTATTTAACTATGAGCCTCTTGCCCCGGGGCGATTTAAGTTATAGAGGAAGTTAACTCCAACTCTAATTCCACAATTTATGCTGCACATTTTATGCGTTCCTTAGAATACTCATAAAAACACCATTGATTACTGACCGCATCATAAAGCATTAATGTGCTTCACCAAGTATTTTTGTTGGCTTGGATTCGGATTTCAGCATCCTCGCGTGAAACCGAACTGAATCATTCCCTCTCAACGGCAACAATAGACTGCACTCAGTGTTATATAACCGCTACACTGATAACTCATAAAAAATCCCAATAAATGAGAGGCGAAAAATCTTTAACACTGACCCACTTTCAAAAGTCGGTGAGTCAATAAAGAAACCGCATGCGGCGACCAAAATAAAAGATATTCGCGCTAATACGCAGATTAAATAATCGTCGAACGGTCTGAACGGCCGCCCATGAATCACCTGCACGCGGGATGGGGGTGTTGCTTTGGAGGAGTGACAATGTCTGGGAATGGCCGGAAAAGTGGTGGACGCCAGCAGGCGAAAAGCATTCGGCGGGCCAACAATTTATGGCCGAATGTGTGCGGCTATTTGTTTGCCAGTGCCAGCCAGCCAGCCTGGGGGGTCGAGGTCGCCGTCGTCGTTGTGGCCATAAACATTTGTGCACTTATCAATTTGTGAGCGAGCGGGCGCGTTCGCAATCAGCTGTTCAAACGAAAGACTTAAGGCACAAACTTGTCCATCATAAATCTCTCTTCGGCCGCAGTCGCAACGGCAGCTCTCTTTTCGTTTGCTCTTCGCTTTGGCACTTGCAGAGAGCCCAGAGAGTGAGAGAGATCGATCTCGTCGTCCCGAGTTAAAACTTTGTTTTAACCTTTTTCACTCTTGCTAAATATTTATTATATGAATAATAATTATAAATAAAAACTAAATATATATAAAAAAAATTCAAAAATTTAAAGAAAATTAAAGTTGATTTTTAAAAATTAAATAAAATAGTATTTCATTGTCAATTTTTCCAAAATAAAGAGGAATATGTGAAGCATTTAAGAAATATATATTTAGAGAGCGTCCAGAAAAACTTACAAATCTTTTTTAAATTTTCTAACAAAAGCTTAAAATATTTTGGAACTTAAATTGGGAACCGTTTGCTGAAGATTTTCGATTAAAAAATTTACAAAAAACTAAAAATCAGCTTTCTTCTTAGCTTTTTTCCCTTGGCATTAGGCTTTTCTTAGCTGTTTATTTTAAAGCAGCTTTTTTTGCTCAGAAAAAACTGACATCACTGTTTGCCGGCACTGTGTGCCGGCCGCAGTTTGGCTTAAACTCGACTTCAGATCGGCCGCAGTTTGGCTTAAACCGCGCTCGAGTGCGGTTCAGATCGGTTTCCGACTCGGATTCGGTTTCGATTTCGTTATCGCGCTACGTCCAGCTCCATTCTTGGTCTACGTCTACGGATAACATAAAAAGCCCAGCAGAGAAAAACAGAAAAGGTGCCTAATTTTTTTGTAACACACTCGAAACGTGGTATGCCCCCGGCTAGAAACCAACGAAAATGTTTAAGAAACAAAAAAGATGTAGTAGTAGTTTCCGAAACCGAAAACCCAAGACATTTCAATCAATCAAAAAGACGCAAAACCTAATCGAAATTGTTAATCGAAAATTACACAAAATGGAAGAAACTGTTAAGACACAAAAGCCCAGAGCCATAAGCATGAGCCCGTCAAAAGTGAGAGTTTTCCACGCCTCGGCCTGTGTGTGGTGTGTGGTGCGGTGTGTGCCCCGTGTTTGGAGCAATTTTGCCGTAGTTTCTTCATCTCGAGCTGCCTCTTCTCGATGGCTAAACAAACTTGCGACTCAATCACGGCTAATTGCGCATGCGAGGCCGCTTTGTGCGTATTTAAAGCGCCGCCTGGTCGCCTTGCCTCGCCCCGTCGACCATCCCGTACCACATATATTACAAAACCGGAGCTCGGCTGCTCCTTAATATGCGTGTCACGTTGTCGGCCATCAAGTTCAAATTGCATTCGCTGTCAACGCATTGCACCAGCACCAGCAACAGCAGCAGCAGCAGCCGTAGTCGCCACTGAGGCAACTCTTCTGCTTCTGCTTGCGGCGGCACGCGTTGAAATTTTGAAATTAACACCCAGAGGGGCGACAGGGGGACAGGTGCAACTGGAGCACACTGGCTGCTAATTAAGAAATAAAGAGTTATCAGCTGATGCTGCTGCTGCCGAGGCTGACAGCAGGACAACCGTGGCCAGGCCAGTCTCGGACAGGCGAATGACCCCTGGCCGCCGCTCGATGGGTTTTGGCAGGCGACATGAGCACTAATTAGTCGCTGCAAATGCTAAATGCAATCGCAGCTCGGCTCGCCGCCACTTGCTCTTGAACAGCGCAAAAAATCCACAAAAAATAAAAGAAGGAACAGCGAAAAACGCTTCGACTTTAGCTGCAAATGCAAAGTGAGTTAATGCCGCGCCAGCCAGTTTTTCCTGCTCCCGACACTGTCAAATGCCAACTTTTGCGGGCTAGGCGACTTGCGACTTGCTCGTGGGGCATTTAACTGCCAAGCTAATGCACTCACTCACAGATACTCACACACACACACACACACTCGCACAGCCACCCTGGACAGGGATCTAATACAAGTGCAGTTAATTAATTTCTTTGTTGTTCTCTACGGTAAATCATGCCGTGTGTGCTGCTCCGGTGTTGGTGTCGACTCTTCGCCTGAATTTTCGCACACACACACAGAACGTGAAGCACTCGGGGAAAATTGAAAATTTTCGGAAAATCTATTGCAATATTTTGTTTAAAAATCTCAAAGTGAAATTGAAAAAGTGTGAGATCAAAAAGTGAATTTAAAGAATTTCTGAAGTAGGTTCAAGTTTTTCTTACAAATATTTCCTGGAATCTTGTGTCGAATTTTGAATTATTTATTAAATTTATAGTCATTCTTATTTATATAACCTTTTTTTTTGTTAAAATTTAGTTTTCTTATTAATTTCTGTTTTAATTTTTTCAAAACCATATTAAATTTTTATATTGTGAAAAATATTAATGTTTAAACGCAAATAAGTTTTTGAATGCTGATAATGCTTGCAGTAAAAATATAAAAATATAATAATTAGCAGGATCTGCCAGATTAGCTTATATAAATATTGTTTCATAGTTTATTTAAATTGTTAAGAAATGCACTTCAATTTTTAATCTGAAAAACAACATTTTACATAGAGCCTTCTTTTTCGTTCTTTGTATTTATTATAATTTCTTTTAACAATTCAAGGTATATTTTAAAATATTTCCCTATAAGCATGCTCAATTTTTCCATGTGCATTGTTGGCATAAGAACTGAGATCAGAACTCTGCCCACTTCCCACTGTTTATTGAGGAGTTTTCCACCGCCTGAGCTGGTGCCGCGAATTTTCCGCCAAGGCCTCCGCTGCCACGTCTTTGACTTTGTCTTTTGTTGCAGCTACTTGAACTGCATTTGCATATAAATTAGTTTTGATAGCGCTCCATGGGTCCCCAGCAGCCGAGGCAACCGAAGCACCAGCAGTTTGATGTTTGTTCTTTGAATGCGTTGCGAAAAATCAACTTGCAACTTGCAACTTGCGGCTGCAACTGGCTAACGGTATTCATTAAGTGAAGTACAGCGAAATGGGATGGCTGCAAGGAAGAGGACGGAATGGGGGAAATCAAGCGATAAGTCGGCAATAAAAATTGGCAGCACTTTGGCACAATTAAGGCAAGGGGCTGGCAACAAAAGACCTGGCCCGGCTAACAGCTAACTGGCCAACTGGCTCTGCACCAGTTAATTGTTGGCCGTTGACAACTTCCACTCGTCGTAGTCGTCGTCGTCGTCGTGCCACAAGGAAGCATACCATTAGGCCGCAAAGAAGTGCAAATTCACATTTAATGAGCCACTGGCAGCGGGGGGAGCCAGGTGAAAGGGGGCAGGAAGCTGCGGTCTGAGGCATCTGAAAGTGATTCTTGCGGTGCCATGTCCATCCAGCCATCCAGTGGCTAATGCCAGTGCCACAGGGAAAAGATAAACAAAGGAAATAAGTGGTAAATTGCAAAATTATTACCATGAAGAAAATTAACTATGTACAAATTATTTATTTATTGAGAAAAAAAGGTACAAGAGCATTTTTTCACAGTTAGATTTTCTTTGAAAAAATATAAATAAATAATACTACGAGAATTATTAAACTAAACTATGTTCTCAAATTCGTACTTATTCTTTGAGAATTTGTTTTGAAAGGGTAACTATTTGTTTTTTTGGCTTAAACTTATACCTTTTCTTTATGTTTTTCTTTAAACATACTTCTCTTTCAGTTTATTTAAAAAATTCAAATAATTAGTTACAGCTTTGCCTCTTCTCTTGTTTTATTACCTCTAACTTTTCTCAAGTCAATCAAATTTGTGTTTAATGCACATTTGATTCCGATTTATTGCCCCAAGTGGGAGAAACCTCAATTTGTTAGCCCAATTACTGGCGGCGCTAATGTTCCTCTCACCCAGTTAAGCATCTTTAAATTTAAAGACCGTCCGGCCCGTGGAGGCCCGTGGAGGCCTCCCCCGGAATTGTCACTTTCGAATCAGAGATCCGAAATTATAAACACGAAACATTAATTCGTTAAATCGTCGTCGCTTTCAACTGTCACTTTTGAGTGGTCTGTGGCTGTGAAATGCAATTTCCATTTCCATAACGCCTCATAACTCGAGATAGCCATCAATTTTGAGTTTTTTTTTTTGCCTGGGCCTGGGCCAACCTGGCAGTTACCAACCTGCAGACTATGTGTGCTACTCCCTGATATACATCAATTTTTGGCGATTCCGTGGCGGCTACCAGCGGATCGAATGCAAATAGGGCTAGAGCTTGGCCTAATCACACGGCTGTTATTTTTGTTTTTGCATAAATTTCGGCTAAGAGTGAAGCCGAAAATCGATGCTGGGCAGGCATGTGATTTCTAATTCGATCGTTGGCCCATTTCCATTAACAGCTCTACTTCTGTTTCTCTGTTTTGCAGCCCACGAACGCCCGCCCACGTCTGCGCGAGGTGGTGAGAAAATAAAAAGAAATCAACCAAAACAACAAAAGTGAAAAACAATAAAGGCCGAGGAAAATCGCGGTGCAATAAAACAAAAAAGCCCAACTAAATCACAGGCGAAATAAATATTTTTCAGTTCGAGCCGCAGCAATAAACAGAAAACAAATAAAGCCACAGCCTGAGACGGAGCTGAGAAGAAAGGGTCCCATCCTCAATTAATTAAGAGTGCTGCTTTCGTTGCATTTATTGCCTCGCATCGACCACAAAAACTGGCTCACACAAATACTCACACAGGTTTTTACGGCATCGCAGTGAAATGCAAATCAATTGAACGCAATATTAATATTATAAAAAAAAGAAAAGAAATCGAAATAACAGAAATACCAAAAACCCGAAAACGCTACAATTTGATTTGCCATTAGCCGAGGATTTAATGTGTTTTACTGGCCATGAAAACTATGGAAAGTCCACAGCAAAATAATTAACGAAAATTCCATCGAGGTGTGCGTGCAAATAATACAGAAAAAGAAATATTAGTTTATAATTGGAAAATCGTAAATCGAAAAACCGCCAAGTGACCAAAATGGCAATGAGTGAAATTCAAAGTTAATAACCCGTCCGAAGTGCGCCGTTCTAAATATTTTATTAAACATTAAACAGACTCTAGATAAACCAGCCAGAAGTTTAACGATTTACGCCAGATAGCACAACAGACACAGAACCGAACGTCCAGAGTAAGTCGATGCATAAATTCTTTTTACTGTCCAAGCTTTCACCTGCCGCCAAAGTTTACGATGATATTTCGAAACCATAAACTTCCCTCTCACCTGCAACTACTACTTATATTATTAAACAATCTTTAAAACCGACTGAAGACATGTCCATAGCTGGATTAATAGCCAGAGTGATTCTATTTACGGTTCCCATCCCGGACTAATATCTTAATGATCAGTCTGGGGCCTAATTGGGGAATCGCCCGTTAGGTCCAATGCCTAATTTACGAAGACCTTAAGAATTTCCTGAACCTACCTATTTACTGCTAAATTAACATCAACATTTGTTTTATAATCCCGAAAATTGTTGGCACCTGTAGGTAATAATTTTCCCGACTAATTTGATGGCCCCGCTTAATTTGCCCAGCCATTCTAATTTCGCAATAGTTGCCGCATCGAAATCTTGTCCATAAATCAGAGGTTGGCCATTATCCGGCGTGTGGTATTATAAAACTCACGACGAAGCCGAAGTGCCAGCCCGTCTGAGGTTGTGTCAACTGCGTTTCTGTCGTTTTATTAGCGAAAGTCATCGAGCAGAATAATTGTTGTTCCCCCAATTCCTCCGGTATTCCAACATAGCCATCCTACATGTGCATATATATATCTATATATGGTAGTAAGTAGTGGCAGTACCAATACCACCACTCCGTTCAGGCGGCAATCAAAGCGCGCGCTCATAAAGCGCAATTCACTTGCGCGTAAAACAAAATTTGTCCTCTTACTCTTAACCAATTTCGGTGGCTCTGGGCCTTTCGGCTTGCCAGCTCCAGCAAACTGTGACCATCTTTTGGCGGCGCGACTGCTTCCAGCGGTTATATAATTTACCGAACCCATTATTCCATTTGTACAACTTCAGGCGCAAAATTATTTAAATGCGTCAAAAGTTTCTGTCGCTCTGGGAAATTGTGAAATTATATCTGAGCGATAGTTTAATTTCTGATTATTATGGCGATTGGGAAAGACCTTGGCTCCTCGGACAGTTATACAATAAAAGTGCAGTGGCCTTAGGCCGCAGTTGCCTAAATTGGCAGTCTTGAAACTACAAGAAAAAGCCTGGCTAAGATGTAGGATGGAGAGCATAAATGTATTTACATTTTATTGTATCAATAAAGAAAATGCCATAAGGAGAGCTTAATGGGCGGTTCTTAAAATCATGTTAGCCTTAACCACAGCTCTGTCATTACACTCCAGAATTTGTAAATATTTTCCCACCATATAATTGATGGTCGGTTCCTGTGGTTTTAATTTCCATAATTCATGCCCGATGCCTTTCAGAACGTAGCGTGTATGAGGCAATACCTGGGGCTCCCGCCCTTGAGCCTAAATGATTAATGCATTATTCAAGAGTTGACAAAGAAGTTCCCAGGCGAACAATGACAATGAGTTATGCCATAAACGGGGCCAAGTGGAGCAACTTTATTCCCGAAAATGATCTGGGTTTCCATTATTATTCGAGATTTAGATGTCATTCACAGTCAATCAATAAATGAGATCAATAGGAAGATCTGGCCATGAATAAACGCACTGAATAAACATGCTATGCATAAGAGCTGCCCCCGATTACTGGCCATTAGGCTGATTTTATGACATCAACACAGATTTAGCATTTACAGCTACAAGCAGCAATTAAAGTCTAGACGGCGAATGCAATCGTCGAATTAATCATTGGCCAACTGAGAGGCGAGTAAATGAATGAATGAATGAATGAATGAATTAACGAACGGAACGGTCTGTGATTATGAATGGCAAACATCCAGCAGCAGATATGTAATTATTTTTGCATTAATTGCGGACACACAGAGCCATTAACATTAACACTCTTGACACTCTTCGAGCGGCCCGCGAATCTAGTTTAAATGAGTCTGGAGGTGTGAATCGGTCCAATTGATGTGGCACTCTGGCACTCCTTGAGAGCGTGAAAAACCCTTGGGCCATCGCTCCATTCTATTTCGCCACTTTTCTTTTCTTTTTACAACTTTCTGCCCATCTCATCTGCCCGGGGAGGCACTCGAGTTGTCAGCGAAAAATAAGAGACAAGTGAATGCTGATTGACCCACTGGATAAGGGTTTACACTTGTCGGAAATATTGTAAATTTCTAAAGGAAATTTATAAGTAAATAGGTATTCAATATTTAAAATATAAAATCTATAATAAAAATGTATTTATTTTATACCAAAAGCGTAATATTTAATAATTAGCTTAAGATCGGTAACAAATGAAAGGAATATTCAGCTAATTTAACAAATTCCCATCATTACCAACTCAGTTACATTTCACCTTCAATCCAGGTAGCTTTCTGCCAGTGCTTGGATGGCCAACTCCGCTCCGGGGCGTGCTCCAAGTGACGCGACTGGGCAACGTGCATTTCATGCAAATTAACGATAAGGCCCAACCTATCCGATCCCTTCGTCTGCCATCATTAGGGACACTTACTTTTAGCTCTTTTCACTTTCAATCTGTCAAATTGTCACACACCGAGCGCTGCTAAGCTGAGAGCTGAACTGAAAAGTGATTGCGATTGCACGACTTCGTCGCGAATTCGCTGGCCTGGCCTGGTATTTACCTCTCCTCGCCGAAAGTGTTACGCTGCCGTGGAGGGACTGTTACTTTTCAACTCCGATCGGCGGCCCTCATTTGCGGCCAATTCGGATCGTTACGGTTACGCACGTGTTGCGGTAACTTCCTCAAGGGACCATGATCGTGCCCGAAATGGGGTCTTTCAATTTACCAATCCGCCGCTGCGACCGTTATGAAATCGAAAATGAAGCTATTTAGAATAGAGCTGGCTGGGATGAGTAGAAGAAAAGCTGAATCAAAGTGGAAATGAAAACCAAAATTAATTATGCCGAGGAGAGGAAAATAAATTACGAGAAGTCACTTTAGAACAGGCCGACCTCAAAAGCTGCAGCGTCATGCGGCTTGAGCCTGGCCAAGACAAAGTAAATATTTGGACAATGGAAAACAAAGCAGGGCCAAGTCGCTCTCCCGCCCCTTTTTTCCCCTCTCCTAGGCCCTCGGAAACGAGGGAAAACCCACAAAGGCCAGGCGAAAACAAAGACGAAGAAAGGAGGGAAAACAAACAAACAGTCCAACAAACAACAATAACACCTGGGGGCCCTCAACTCGGCTCAGTCAGAGGTGCAAGTGCAGCTCAGACGCAGCCACAGGTTGCATAGCACTTGACCATGCCCACTGGTGGTGACTGGCCACTGACCACCGGCCATTGGCCATTGGCCATTAGCCGCGTGAGGTTAATAAACCAGGGGAGCCGAGCCCGCTCCGGCTGTGATTTATGCTCGTGGCCCAGTCTCGGACACTTAACAGGTTGGAAACGTGTTGCTTTTATTTCGGACCGTCCGAAATGGATGCTCTGCCTAATGGCGCGCATCCAGAGGATGCACTGTTCCACGTTGCGTATGCGTAATGCGAGCCAGCTAAGGCGCAATTAATTAACGCTCGCCGCTTGACTTGATGTATTCAATCAGCAAAAACAGGCGCCAGAGTGCCACAGTTGCTCCATAAAGTCTACTGACGGGCGAAAAAAAAATAAGAAAATGAAAGTTGAGGAGCAATCAACATCCTGCGATACTAACAAGCTGTAAGATAAAACCCAATTAAAAATACGAAACCAAAAACATACTTAATATCTTAATAATGAACATACAGGCTGTAAATTAACTTTCAAATAAATATATCGTTACGGAGATGCTCTGTTTATGGCTCTTTATATGCTGAAACTAATTGTCTTTAACTATGTTTTGAGTTGGTAGTAAAATTGGCATTATTTCTTTACTCCTTTATTTCTAGTGACTTTTAATAATAAGTTACTCCCAAAGAACATTTTCCGTATCGCGTAAAACGGTTTCTGGCCATTAATCGCTATATCAAATGCCTGTCATTTATCATGCTGAACCACGGGCTCCATATTTCCCAGGTTATAACGAGATTTTAAACACTTCTTTCAATTTACTGCGTTGCTTCTGCTTCCGTTCTCGGAGCGCGAGTCGAGTTGTCGGTCGCTTGGCTCTTTTGATTTTCACAGTGATAAGCGACCGGCTCAGGTGCAACGACTTTTCCCCCTCACTGTGGCATATACTACAGATATTATTCCCTTATTCCGTGCCAGGTTCTTCCGTAGTCGTCGTCGCAGCATCGAGTGAGTGAGTGACCGCCTCCAGGTATGGATGGATTTCACATGGCCGGGCCACTCAAAAATTGTGTTTGCGTTACGCGCAGTGATTATAACAAGCTCTCTGTCCCGTGCTTCTAGTCTCTGTGCCTCCATGCCCCCACCTGGCTCACAATCCCTCTTACGAAATCTCAAAAGATGCCGCCAGCTCAGCTTCAGCTGGAGAGATTCTCCCCTGGCCGCTTCGAAGGAAACCCTTCTTAGTTGCAGTAAGAAAAAAAGAGGGCCAGTTGTACATCAAATAAAATAATCAATTTCCCAGAAATTTTTTATTTATAATTATCCTTCAGAAGATGTCTTATTTCCGCAAGGGATTGATTAATTTTCAAAGATTTTATTAGTTGTATAATTAGTTTAAGAATTGAATTCAAAGATTATTGATGAAATATATGTTAAAACACCGCAAATAGTTTCCTGTGCACCATATGGCTGCGTGTCAGGCTGGTTCCCGTCGCTCGTGGCTTGTGTGATCCAGTTGTTTATCTTTTTCATTAGCCTGGGCGGCCTGTCATCTGTGCCGTCGCCTGTCGATCGCCAGCCGATTGACAAAACGCCTACCGGGTAACCTCCACCTCCTCGGAAGCTGATACCTGATGGTGGAGCCGATGCCCCCGGATTCAGGCTCAGCCTCCATCCCTGTCCCATTCCATTCAGTGCTCTTAACTAAACGGGCTGAGACTTTTCCTCACTTTACTACACGCCAACAGCGGCGGCAAAGGGCAGAGGCACGAGGAAGTTAAGTGACTGACGCAAATTGCGCAATTGTTATTACAATTACTCTCTTCCACTAAGTTGGCTGGCTGCTGCAGGCCGGGCTCTAAGTTGGGCTGAGCCAAGAGTTCAGTTGGGATGAGCGGAGCTACTAAGCACGTACTTGCAGTGACAGAAAAAGGGGGTTAATTGAAGGAGTTCTTGAGCTAGTTTTGGATTAAATAAAGTTTGTGATGTTTTATATAAATACTGGATATTATAAATATTTTTATTAAATATAATGGTATATATATTAAAAATAAATACTAGATATTATATACAAAATATGAGCTAATATTTTGGCTCACTTCTGAAACAGCTCCTTATCTCTAACAAAATTCTATAGTTTTTTTTGTTAGTTAAACGTTTTGTTAAACTTTTTTAATGGAAAATCTTTAAACAAAAAACTTGAAGTAACTTTTATATTTGTATTTAAGTTTCTCTAACTTTTAGGTATGTTTTAATTTCATTTTAGTTTTAATTAAATAATACAAAAAAGAGAAAGTGAAACCCAGAAGCAGAACTTATTTTCATTCTTTAAGAAACTTTTTCTATGCTTCAGTGCTGATTTCGGCAAATGAAATCCAATTATACTTTTATTGTCGGCCATAAAGAATTCTTTTTTGAATTTAATTCAAACCTAGATCATTTCGGTCAGTGTTCTTTGCAGTTTCGGTAACATTTTTCTAATACTGAGCAGTTATTTGTTGTTGTTTGCTGGAAAATTATTTGGCCCTCGGCCGCTTCCATCTGTCTTGACTGTCCGTCTGTCTGGGCCTGAGTCGATGTCGAAGCCGAAGACGATGTCTGGTGATTTGACTGTTTGTCAGTCTGGTGGTTCTGGCCGTGGCTACCCGTCTTTGGCTCGTTTTGGCCTTCTAAAGATAGTCATTAGCACGAGAGATTGGCTGTTGCTACTACTTGGGCTTTTTCCCCAAGCTTCAGTTTCAGCTTCTGCTTCTGTTTTTGTTTTTGGGGCGTTTAAACGGGGTAATTACGTTTCGGGTATTTTTCGACCAGCTAGCGAAAAAAAAAATAACAAAAACTAAGACTACCGGGCCCAAAACTCTGCAGAAAGAGTGGAAAAAGCGAGCTGCCACCGCTTTCGTTGAGGAAATGAAAACGTAACGAAATCGATTTCCAACGGTTCATGCGCCGAATGGATCGCTATATAGCCATAAAGCCATATAGCCATACAGCCGGCGTGTGGCAGGGGCAAGCACATCTTTACCCCCGCCGCTCCCAATTGGAAATAGAGTTATTAGGAGTGAACGTTAGCGTTACGTTTGCCTTTGCCTCTGCGTTTGCCTTTGCGTTTGCGTTTCTGGCCCACTGGAGTCCATTGAGTAGTCGACAGTCGGCCGGTCGGATGGCCAATTCATGAATCGATTCGAGAGGCCCATAGAGAACACGGCACGAAATCGGCCACGGAGTGAGCAAAATGTTTGGGGCCAGAGCTGAAATTAATCTCGGGGCACATGTTCATCCGCAACAGCAACTACTACCGCCAGAGCCACATCAGCATCAACATCAATATCAATTTCGGTTTCAATCAACATGGACATGAAGCGTTTTCCAAGCCAATGATGTGCACAAAGTATTTGGTATCAGATTGCATTTGAACGTTTTGTAATTATAATCAACATTAAGATGATTAGGCGATAAACGGGATTTTTATGGGGTCTACTTTAAGCTCATCCCATGCATGATGTATATATGATCGTTCATCGGATGAGTATTGATTGGGAGAATGCATTTTAAGGTGAATATCAATGAGTATTTGATTGCAGGTAATGTGCGTCGAAAGCGGATCTCAGTGATGGGAATGAGATGGGTACAAGTGCCTCAAGTAGAGTTCGGAATTATGTCTATAAATCATTACCAGTAATTGTTTTAGAAAATAATTGAAAGTGTGTATCTTAACTTATTTATTTTTTATGTTTGAACATTTGTTTTCAACAAGTAGTTTTCATTCTTTGGCCAGAATCCTCATCTAATTCAGCATCCTTTTTCTAGTTTCTATCCTACTTTATCAAACACTTTCTCCTCCAAAGTTCCTTGATCTCCGCTTCCGCGAATTGCATAATGTTCCCAAGTGTCGCACATTTGCCCCCAGCCCGCCTCCGAAGTGTTGTCAGCACATCCGCGATAGCCACGACTCCTGCCACATTTCCTTGCCACATTGGCACATTGCCCCCACTATCATCATCGTCATCATCATCATCATCGTCGTCGTCATATACGGCAATCATCGTGATGATGACGAGATCTGGTGATTACGATCTTGGCCCGGCTAATGCCGCCATCTCGTGAGTGTGGGTTGTCTGGTGGGTGGGCCGTCTCCAGCACCAGCAGGAGCACCAGCACCAGCACCAGCTCCAGCTCTAGGTCCAGCTACAGCTCCAACTCCAGCTCAAGTGCTCTCCACATGCATGACCGCTTATAGTTAGATATTCCGCAGTTAGCCCACTAATTACAGCCGGGCACATTCCGCCCGACATTCTCGACAGCATAAAACATAGCTCGGTGCGGCGCGGCACAATAAAAAAAAAAAATAAAAACGACTCTCTAACAACCGACTTCTTGTGGCCATACCGATACTGATTATTATTATTCCCCGTGCAATCCATTGCAGACATGCGCCCGGCACGTTACCGATGAAGCAAGCCACTTTAATCAGACCCAGACACAGACCCAGGTGAGTTGACAACCCCGGGGAAGGGACGCGGCACGGGATGGGATGCAGCAGAAACCAGCGATGTGTGCTACCAGTTTAGGTTACAAACTATAAAGGCAAACATCTAATTTGGCCAGCAATGGATTGGCTAAACTTTAATTAAATTTGTACGAAAAAACCAAAGGAAAACAAAACAGAAAGAAAGAAAGAAGCGGCAACGATTCCGCTTTGATGAGCTGCACTGGAGGATGGAATGGGATGGGTTGGGCTGGGCATGGCAACGCTATCGCCATCGCCATCGCCATCGCCATCGCCATCGCTGCACTTGCTTTTGGGACAAGAAATTATTAATTGTAGCATGTGTCGTCTGACGTCGTGCGATCGCAATACATTTTTTCCAGTCTTGTTCGACAATAAAACAAGACGGCAGCCGCGAAAAAAAAAACTGATTATGAAGCAAAAGTGAAAAGTTGTAATTAAACCAGTCACTGACTGCACAGCAGCAACACAAAAACAAACTGCAACAGCGACAACGGCAACATCTGCAAGAGCAACAGCAGCAACATCTGCAGCAGCAATCATAAAGAGTAGAAATCGTTGCCTGACTTGAGTTTTTTTTTTCAACCATTTTTTGTTGCGACAAGTGCGCTTAATTAGTGGGGGTTTAGCCACCGGGACACGGGAACTCGGCGGCTCTAAGGTTCTCGGGTTCTGGGGTTCTGCTGTTCTGGCGGATGGGTTCCGGCAGGCGAAACAAGACTAATGTCCGAAAACTGTCATGCCGTTCCTTTGCAGAAGAAGCACAGCAGCAGAAGCAGTGGCAGCGGCAGCCTCCAACATGTGTCCCAAACGGCATTGGCTAGTCAGTAAAGCAACGGGAGCGGGATCAGGAGGCTCCAGAGGATCGGCAGCTAGGAGCCGGCGCAGTCTAGACCAAATAGTAGAAGTATTAGTAGCCTTAATCTTAGTCAATTGCCTGGTCACGGCGGCAGCGGCGCTGATCACACCGCCCGACAGTCTCGAGTCGCTGTCCCTCGGCTCCTACACCTCTGGCGACTCCGCGGATTCCTCCGAGGATGACGTGACCGGCTTCTACCGCAGCCCCCACCGTCTGGAGGGCTATCCCCAGATGCAGCAGCTCCAGCAGCAGCAGCAGCGGGGACAAAACTTTAAGATCAGCCCCAAGCCGTGCTCCTTTGGTCGCGTGGAGGGCACCTGCATGTTCGTGTGGGAGTGCATCAAGTCCGAGGGCCGGCACGTGGGCATGTGCGTGGACTCGTTCATGTTTGGCTCCTGCTGCACGCACAACTACACCGACAACATCGTCCTGCCGCAGACGGCCTTCTCCTACACGAGGCCCACCAAGCCGCTCACGCTGCGCCCGCGCCCACCGGCGCCCTACAAGCCCATGATCAGGTGAGCCATCCGTCAGGATCTTGAGATAATATAGCTCCTTATCCTAGTAATTACCACTAATCTCAGCTTAAAGTATTATGAGCTTAGTCAAGTCAAATTATTCCCTCTTATTTACTTCCCCGTTCTTGTCCCTTTCACAGCGGCATGACCACCATTGAGCGTCCCCATGGCGCTGGCACCATCGTGATTCGTCCTTCGGGGCCGCACCACCAGGGCACTCTGGCCCGGCCGCATCCGCAACCCTACCAGAGCAAGCCCACCACTGCCTCCGACCTGCAGAGCTCCGCCTCGCACCCCAGCTCTAGCTCTAGCTCCAGTTCCGGCTCTAGTTCGAGTCCCAGTAAGTGGGCCTGGCGCCCCCGCCCAACGGTGGTGCATTGTTAGCATAATTTGTAACAAACAAATATTATACACAGATAGCATTTGGCATACATCGACCCAGCAGCAGCAGCAGCATCAGCAGAATCAACAGAACCACTGGCAGATGACCACCGAGCCGAGCTTTATTACCAAGCCGCGGCCCACCGGCTGGACCAAGCCTGGCATCGTCAATTTGCCAATGCCCGCGCGACCCTCGAAACCGTCGAAGCCCACAAAGAAACCGATTGTCTACGAACGGCCACCGCCTCCGCCGCCACCCTCTCCGTCGACGACATCGACGACGTCCCTGATTTGGCCGGGCCAGACGCAGCCGCATCGCCCCACCAGGCCGCAGGTATGTAAATACGAGTCTGCTTCGGGTCCAGGTTCAGGTTTAGGTTCTGGGTCTCGCTCTTAGTCCGAGTCTGGGTGATGCATTGATGTCGAAAGCGAAACAAACGAGCCACGAGGTCATTTACTCCTCGCACGGCGACCGGGACTGGGACTGGGACTGGGCCCCCATAATGGCAGGCCACAGCCTTGGGGGACATTTTATTGTTTGCACAATGCGGAGCCGGAGCCAAAAGTTGATGTAAGATTCGCCTGCCTGCCTTTGCCTGCCTGACAATGACGAGGCCGCGGCCGCTCTCAGGGGTGTGTGTGAAATTCAGAACTCTTCCAGGAAAGAGTATTTCGAGCGGAGCAAGCCACTTGCCAACTCTAGGAAAATATCCAATTTAGGTTCGAAGGAAATTTAAATGGGAGTAAGTTCTTGAAACATAAGTTGTCAAGCACATTCCACAGAAAAAGCTGGTGGAAAGGTGTTAATAATGTTAATATACGATGTGTCCTTGGTTAGAGCATCCACACGTCAAGCTATAAGCCTACCATAGATCCCACTTAATGCAGATTTAGCGTCGAAATGAAAAATTGATTCTTTGCGTGGAATGGGAATGGTAATCGGAATGGGTATGAGGATAGTGCAGAGGCAGATGGAGAATGATTTGCCACCCGAGCCTGGCCAAGTATTTTAGCATAATGTTTACCACTTTGGCCTGCCTTGCAGCTGTCGCCGGGCACATCATTAGCCGCATCCTCGTCCGCAGTGTGGCCATCAACATCGACTTCCACTTCGACGACAACGACTACTCGACGGACAACCACACCGCCAGCAACCACGACAACAAGGAGAACACCGGCCAGTAAGCCCACAAAGCCCTACCAGCGGCCCACCACGGCGATATCGAGTTCCTCCAGCTACAGTTCCAGCTCCACAACAACAACAACAACAACAACAACAACAACAGCCCATCCGAGCAAGACACCCACCACGATCGGAAGCACCAGCAGCAGTAGTGGTATCGTCACCAGCAGCAGCCAACGGCCCACGCACCGTCCGCCAGGCCTGGCCACCTCCGGCATCGAGACCAACGAGATAACGGACTCCTCCAGCCTGGACTCCGGGGCGCTTGGCCATGTCAAGACCATTTCGGCGGCGCGGAGCGGTAAGTGCCACGCCCCTACACTTGTAAAAAATCACTTAAGCTTGGATTTAGACCTGCAAATAGTATTTAAATTAAACGGGAAAAGGAATCCTCTTCAGGAACCTGAAATTTGTATACCCTTGCAGTTTGGAATTGGATTATATTATCGATTAGGCCAAAATTTATTAATTTAAATCCGGAAAGGTTTTCTGCTTTTTCTAATATTTTCTTTTCAATAATTTAATGGTGAATATAACTATATTTGCCTTTAGAAGCCACCAAAATGACTTACAATATTTCCTTTCTACAGTTTTCAACAAATATATTTAAATTAATTATAAGAAGTCAAGAATTAGTGAAGTAGAGTAGACTCCAATTAAATAGATTTCGTTGGCGGTACCAAATATTTTCAAACCAGTTAAGGAGAACCCATTGAGATAGCCCTATAAATTCGATTTAGCAAGCACGAGTTAGAGCTCTAAAGAATAGAGCAATAGTCGATCTGCCAGTCCGAAGATCTAACTTGACAATGCCATTTGTTATTGCCGCAATTGCAGAGTGCGGAGTGCCGACGCTGGCGCGGCCAGAGACACGAATCGTGGGCGGCAAGAGCGCGGCCTTCGGTCGTTGGCCCTGGCAGGTGTCGGTGCGGCGCACCTCCTTCTTCGGCTTCTCCAGCACCCACCGCTGCGGTGGCGCTTTGATCAACGAGAACTGGATAGCCACCGCCGGACACTGCGTGGACGAGTGAGTGGATCAGCCCAGCCCGAAACCGGACCACATTCAGCTAATCTGCGTTTCCCTCTTTTCTTCATCCGCAGCCTGCTCATCTCGCAGATACGCATCCGCGTGGGCGAGTATGATTTCTCGCATGTGCAGGAGCAGCTGCCCTACATCGAGCGCGGCGTGGCCAAGAAGGTGGTGCACCCCAAGTACAGCTTCCTCACGTACGAGTACGACCTGGCGCTGGTCAAGCTTGAGCAGCCGCTCGAATTTGCGCCGCATGTCAGTCCCATTTGCCTGCCCGAGACGGAGAGCCTTCTAATTGGCATGAACGCCACGGTCACAGGCTGGGGTCGTCTCAGCGAGGGCGGCACCCTGCCCTCGGTCCTCCAAGAGGTGAGTATCCAATGCTCCAGCTCCAGCTGAAGTTTAAACTCCTTTTCTTCAGCTTCAGCGACAATGAAAACCATAGCAAATTGAGCTATGATTTTTTTTTTTTTTTGGAGTGGGAGATTCTAGAGAGATTGTGTTGATGAATAATCGGTAAGGAAGGCATAGGGACCAATAAGGAGGAGAATATATCAAAGAATTAATAGATGCCTGTTTTATTTTTATGTGAATATATTTCATAAAAAACAAAACGTAAACATCGTCAACTCGGACAGCTTTGTTTAGTCATTGCTCAGGAGTAGTTTTTATTGTCATGGCTCCGACTTAAAGGACTTGACATACATAGGACTACATTTTTTTGACAAAAAACTCTTTAATTAATTAGATAATTAATTATTTTCCTTCCCTAATCAGGTCTCCGTGCCCATTGTGAGTAACGACAATTGCAAATCGATGTTCATGCGCGCAGGTCGCCAGGAATTCATCCCGGACATATTCCTTTGTGCGGGCTACGAGACAGGAGGACAGGACTCCTGTCAAGGCGATTCGGGAGGACCTCTACAGGTAAGACCCATGTCAGATACCACAAGGAGAAAACTAATCCACTATCTCTCATTTGTCAGGCCAAATCCCAGGACGGTCGCTTCTTCCTGGCCGGGATCATCTCCTGGGGCATTGGCTGTGCCGAAGCCAATCTGCCTGGGGTCTGCACGCGCATCTCCAAGTTCACGCCCTGGATACTCGAGCATGTCAGATGATGACATAATGAAGATCTGGACGATGATGATGATGGCAGCCCGACATTTGTTATTGTTTTAATTTATCAGTTGTATCTTTAAGTCTTGTGTGATTTATCTTAAAGGAATGTTAAGCGTAGTTAGCTTCAATTTAACAATTTTAATAGCATTGACCTTGACTTGGCCTCGTGGGCCACTGCCACGCCCCTGTCCGAACACACACAGTCAACGCCCACTAAGTTAGTGTAGCGAAAATGTTAGCGCTGTAAGTCTAACACATATGGGAATCGCTCGGTCAGATATCGATCGGGTCCCCGAAGAGGGTTTATCTATTTGTACATAGCCGAAGGGATTATCGGGGATAACGGGGGGGGAAATGGAGAGTCATTTGCATGTCCACAAGTTGTTGGTATTTTAGAAGTAGTAGTAATATTTAACAATTAACTAAATCTATATTTATTGTAAACAATTGCGTGCAGACACCTCAACGTTGTCTGTATCTTGCCCAAAGAACATGTCTATCTATAGCGATGCGAAAGCTCGAGAGCAATAAAAGATAACTGAAAAACATTGTCCAGCATAATGGGAGGCCGTCGAGAGAGATGCCCATCGCCATAAGAGCCGGCTTCCTCTCCAGTCGGCAATCTCCGGCAATTGGGGGCCCCCGAGGGCAGGCGAACCTGAACCATTCACACAATTTGCAGTCATCGCCATGTTCGGCTGCGGGCCATCGAAGATGATTGGCACAATCGATTTGTACGCGGGAAGGCAGTCGGCATCCGCAGTCGCCACTTTCCTACGGATTTCACTTTTCAACAGCCTCAGCTCTCATCTCCCAGCTCCGCCAGTGACATTTGACTTGACACCAACACCTCGCGAGCGGCTGAACAATTAATCACTTGACGCGGCTCATGGGAGATCTGGCGGCATCGACAGCTGGTTCTGACCTGGGCCACGGCCCACACATGGTACCTGCGCAAGCAATGAGCCATCTTTTCACTTTTGGGACGCGAGGCCAATTTATTTCTGGCAACAAGAAAGATTACCACAAATAGAGATAACGAATTCCAGCTGGATCACATAATCGGAGAGAGACTAGGCTCATGTTAAGTCGATGCACACTTCTCGGCCGGATGGGGGTGCTCCTACTTCTTCTTGGGGAAGATCAACTCCTTGGCCTCGTCGACCAGGTCGCTGGCCAAATACTTGAGGTCCTCCAGTGAGGTAGGGAACTTCTGGATGGGCTCGATGGGCACCTCCTCTCCGGGCTTCACGCCCTTCACGAAGTTGTAGGCCACGGCGAAGATCTTGCGCCCCTCGTACAGCACCACCCGGCAGTTCTCCTCCGCCTGGCGGGGATAGCACAGCGAGGCCACCGCCCCCGCTCCGATGCCAGTGTACACCACTTTCTTAATAAAACCACCGCGGGCGCCGAAGATGAAACCTGCGAGACCGCCTACCACGATGGCCCCGCTGCGGTGCAGTGAGTTTTGCGGCTCATTCAGGATGTCGATCGTGTGCTGCGTATGGGCCTTGGCCGTTTCCAGGTAATGGCCCACAATGCCGGCCTGGTCGGCGACGGACTTGTAGCTGTCCTCTACACTCTCGCGCACGTACCGTACGCCGCTCTCCAGGTTGCGGTGCAGCGCCGAATCCGAGGACCTGTGCCTCTCCAGCTTGGGCCTGTGGAGGAAGCCAAACGGAAGGATTAGAAAGGAATTGGGAAGATGAGCCGCAGGGCACTCACTCTGGCTTGCGCAAGCTGTCGTAGATGGGCAACTCGCTGGGCCGGCACACCAAACTGCTGTCCGCCTTGGAGGAGCTCTGTTTGCCTTGCTCTGGTGCCGCAGTCACGGCCACCGCCGCCACGAGTCCCATTGTCGCCGTTTTGCGCAGCATCTCGCAGGTTTCAGCAGTGGATTTAGAGCCTCGCGTGGTGGGTCGATCGGAATTTGGGCAACTGGTCTAAATTATAAGTTTTACTCAGTTGTTTAACATTGCGTAATGTGTCACGACACGGAACGACTGCTTGACGTGGCGTGAAGTAGAATGGCGTGGAATGACGGAAAGCGAGATAGCACGACAAAAGCTGAACGATCTGGCACTTTTGGTGGCGCGTTTTACATAACCGATTGGAAATTCTACACCATTGCTACATTTGACACTGTAAATTAACCGCTAAGCCAAATTTAGTGTGTCCAAATGCCGAAAGTGGAAATTTCTAGGGGAATTTCAACTGTTTGAGATTTTTAGGGAAAATCCAATTAGTTATGAAAACAGAGTGAAACTTTAAATAAATAAACCAATTAAGCCCACTGATAAGCGGACCAGCAATCTTCAATGAAATCACTAGCCACAGATAATATCCCATCGAGCACCTGCAAGCGCACGTCCAGCGGACCGGCCCCAGACGCTCCACCTCGCACCTGTGCGTCGGCCGCCCCCCAGCCCTCGTCCGTGGATGTTATCAGGTCCGAGGCGCGCTAAGGCAGAGGCAGCGACGACGACGAGTGGGCGCGCACAAAAGGCCACCGCTCAAGGACGCAGCGTAGGCAGAGGTAGGCAAGGCTAAATAGGCTTATAAATAAATTAAGGGCCCGGGTCCCAGTAACGAACAATGTTTATTGACCATTGATTCCCTTGCAGTTGCAGTTGCAGTGGCAGCGGCAAAGGCTGCGACGTAACCGCGCAACGTGCCCCGAATACAAATAGTTCCCCCCTATTGGATTTTCTGCCATGCAACGGATGAGGAGCGGCTGACAGCGGAACGGCCAGCAAGACACACCTTAAATAGCGAGCAATATAGTAACTCTAGTCATTAGTTCATATGGATGCTACCGCAAGTTCAAAGTTCAGGTGAGTGGTGGGCTCGTAGCGAAAGAGTATCTTTTCACCGCAACTTCAACTTTCTTTGGTTTCTGCGGCCAGCGATGTGGACGAGTATGGCTTCAAGCGGGGCGAGCACTTCGACTACAAGAACTACGGCAAGTTCATGGACGGCTACCTGAAGACGCTGACGCGCCGCCGCATGAAGTGGGAGGCCATACTGCAGCAGAACACCGATCTCAGCCAGATGGACCCCAAGCTTAAGCGGTACATACGCAAAGGTATACCCGGGCCGTACCGTCCCGACGTCTGGATGAAGATATCCGGCGCCGCCGCCGCCCAGCGCCGCTCTCCGGATCTCTATCGCAGTCTGCTCAACGCAGAGCCCTACAACAAGGAAATCAGTGATTCCATATCAATCGATCTACCTCGTACCTTCCCCGACAATATTCACTTTGACTCGAAAAAGGAACGTCTGTACAACATCCTCATCGCCTATGCCCACCACAATCGAGATGTGGGCTACTGCCAGGGCCTCAACTACATCGCCGGGCTGCTGCTCATCGTCACCGACGACGAGGAGAAGTCCTTCTGGCTGCTAAAGCACATAGTGGAGAATATTGTACCGCAGTATCATTCGCACAACATGGCCAACCTGCTGCGGGACCTGGCTGTGTTCCGGGAACTGGTCATCAGGCGGATACCCGCTGTGAATCGGCATGTGGAGAACTTGGGTGAGTACGGAAATTGTGATAAATTCGAGTTCTTTATGATTCATTCACATTTCAATGGCAGGCCTGCCCTATCCGGTGATTGCCAGCAAATGGTTCATCTGCATCTTTGCCGAGGTGCTGCCGGTGGAGACGGTGCTGCGCATCTGGGATTGCGTCTTCGCCGAGGGTCACAAGATCGTTTTCCGCGCTGCCCTGGCCATGTTCATTACACACAAGAACGCCATTTTGGGCTGCGACGATATTGCCGCTTTGGCAAACCTATTCCGGGACACCATGATCCAGGACAGCATTGTGACCGACTGTCACGGCTTTGTGCAGGCCATGTTTAGTCTGCGCCTGAAACGCAGCGAGCTGGAGAGCCTGCGCAAGGTGGCCGTGCTCAATCCGGCCTAGGAGACCCCCGGGAGCAGATCAAATTGAAATAGCAAAGAAACCAAAATAACAAATTGGAGAAGCAATCGAAAAATTCAATTATTAGGAGCGTAGTTCAACTTTGTCATTGCGTACGTACATGTTCATGATTGTGAGTGTTCATTATGTAATCGTCTCTATATAGCGCGCGCATTTGTATTACCATTGCCGACCAATATTGTAGCCAAGGCCAAAACAATTCGAGTATTAGCCAAACGAAATCAAAACGAGTTACCAAAGCGAAAATTCGGAACAGAACAGAAAATAGCTTATTTATTTAGCCGCGTATGTAGTGAGAGTAGTAGCCAAAAATTTCTAGTTGATATCTTCCGTATATAGAGCATGTAGCGGAGTACATGTCCAGTCATCCGCGAGCGCATTTAGCCCACGTTTCACCCCGCAACTGTTTTGTGTTCTTAGTTCGTTGATTCTTGGTTCTGTTATTGATCAAAGTAGAAGAAGGAGTATTTATTTTCGAGTATAACGTGTATGTACTTCGATAGGAGCTATGTGTAAATGTCTACGTCTAGATTAAACACACTTGTATTTACTTTTTATATATATATAAAAAATGCTTTTAAAGTTGTTACATAGTTGCCTAACTGGAAAGACGTCTGTTAGCCGCAATCTAATACTCAATACTATTTACAAAAGATTTATCCTGAAATATGATTTGAGGAATTGATTTGTAAATGCACTATCCCCACGGCCATTGAACCCAATAACTAAACTATTCCGGAACTCGGAAGAGGACTTCAATGGCCGGCGGGTTTTGTATTTTTTGGATGCAGCCAATATGCTTTTCAAATAAAATACTACTGCTAACTGTTAGTAACTGTAGAAACCTGTACAGCCTTAAACTAATTTCGGAGGTCTAAACCAAAACGGGGAAGACTTTGGCATCTTGAGGGAAGATCATAAGTTCGAGGGGAATTGCTTTCAGCACTGGATTGCACTCCATTGTAAGCCGGTCTAGGACTATGACTTTATGGCATTCCACAGTGAGCTCCGCACATGGGCTCCGAGGACAGGGCCAGCGAGGTGAGCAGTGTTCGCCGACCCGGATGGACGCCCAGATTCTCCCAATTGATCCAGGACAAGCGAGCTGTGAGATCTGCAAAGGAAAACTAGGCTTAGCAAGCTTTTCTGGGTTTCAACGACCCCGTTCTACGCACCACTTGTATTCCAATTGGCGCGATCCGCTTTGATCTCGCCCCGCAGACACTTCTCCACATAGGTCAGCGGATCGTAGTCGGTTTGGAGTACCTCACGCAGCAGGGATATGTAGGCTATGGCCAGGCGAAGAGTGTCAATCTTGCTTAGACGCTTCTCGTACGGAAAGGTGGGCACATGGACCCGCAGCTCGTCAAAGGCGGAATTGATGCTACTGCAAGACGCAAGGAAAAACCAAAAAGGGAGACCAAGGAATGCTCGTTAGTTAACCAATCAAGGTCTAGGCTCTGCGACAGGAAGATTTAAAATGGAAAAGACCATTTGGTGTACCCAGTTGGTGCGGACCTCTGGATGCGTTTCCTTTCCCGCACATTGGCCGCCTGTCGTTGCATTTTGTAGCTGGACGCAGCTGCTGCTCCCACGGAACCGTATCCGGGATTGGGGCCACCGCCGCCCACTCCGCCTGGAGTGCCTGAGCCTCCGTTGCCGCCTCCTCCTCCTCCTCCGCTGCTGCTGGCACTGGGACTGTTGCACATTAAGGGTGCTCCACCGCCGGAATTGTGCACTCCCATGGAATTTGTCGAGGAATCTAGGAGGTTCTCTGTAAGTTGGAAGTAGGGCTTGAGAAAATGCCCCAAAGATCGCTTTCGTTAAGTCTCACCTCCGCTGTGCTGCAGGTAATGCTGCTGGATGTGGCGCAGATTATTCGAGCTGAGACGCAGCCCCGAGTTGCCACCGCCTCCACCTGACCCGCCACCACCTCCTGTTCCGGCGGCACTTCCCCCTTGATGCTGGCCAGCATAAATGCAGGACGGCAGATCGTTGATCAGATCATCGTCAAAGTTGTGAAAGGGTAAATGGCTAAGGGGGGAAACGAAGTCTTGGTTAGAAACTATGATTTGGAATTTAGATTAGAAATCACAAGTAACACTTGTTTATAGTATTTAAAAAAGAAATCATTTGAATAATTACATTTTCATTAATAAAATTGGAACCTTATTTTCAGAGCCTTTATAAATTACATTTGTAGCTATTTTTAAAAATGTTTTAAAAATAGGGAAGCAGACATAAAAAATGTGTGGTCAAGTTTTAAGCTTAACATGATCTGTTTGAGTACTGCCCAGCATTTGTATACCCTTGAAGGACATTATTTTACCTATTATAGTTAGTCAGAAGTTTGCAACGCAGTGAAGGAGACGTTTCCGACCCTATAAAGTATATATATTCTTGATCAGCATCAACAGAGGAATCTTTCTAGATATGCCAGGAAGAAATCGATTTTTTCGTCATTTTTGCAAAATTTGATAAGGGGTTACATCATTAAAATTTTTGATTTTGATAAAAAATTTAATTTTCAAAATTTTTAAATGAAGTATGCAGATTTATTAACTGTAGAAAATCTTGCACAGAACAGTTTTCCGATTTAAAATTAATGCTCTTTTGGCCAAGTTATGATATTTTTAATTTAAAAAAAAATCAAGAAGTTTTTTTATATAAAAAATCCGATTTTATAATACAAAATAATATTTTTCTAAGTCAAGGAATCATTTCCGACCCCATAAACCATATATATTATTGATCAGCATCAACTTGCGAATCTTTCTAGACATGTCCGGAAGAAATCGATTTTTTGGCCATTTTTGCGAAATTTGATAAGGGGTAACATCATTAAAATTAGCAAAAATGGCCAAAAATTTTGATTTCCTAAAATTTCAAATTTGGTATGCAGTTTTTTTAAATTAATAAAAACTAACACAAAACTGCTTTCCGAATCGAAATTAATGCATTTTTGGCTTAGTTATGATATATTTTAATTGTTACATGCAAGGGTATACAAACTTTGGCTGGCCAAAGTTGGCTTTCTTTCTTGTTTATACTTCGAGTCGTTATTCAAATCTTTAATGCAAGAGTATTCAAACTTTAACTCCCCAAAGTTAGTTTAAATTATTGTTTCAATATTTTGGGATACAATAAACTCAAGAATTTAATTTAAAAATTTGCATTGTTTTAATTGTGTATAAGCTTCCGACGGCACAAAATAAATGTAAATAAAACGACCACTTTCCTGTCTTTTTTTTTTTTAACTTTTTTCTTTCAATTTTGTCAATATATTCACCAATTATGTCAATAATAGATATTTTACCAATAATGTTTACATATTTTATTTAACTAAAAAAATCACAAATCTCACAAAAAAACCTCACCTAATGGGCGGCGATGAGGACGAATCCGGCAATTGATTTCGCGACATTATCCCCCTACAAATATTGCACTTTTTATATTCTTTTTTTCACTGGACTTATTTTCTGCTAAATGGCACTTTCTTTCGACACTTCCGTTGCCCAATAAGTTTAAATTCCTAATGAGTCCATCTCCCGGGAATTGTGAGCCTTTTATAGTGCCGCAGTTCCAATTGGAAATGCCAGTACTCAGGCCAGGACCTCATCAACCCCCGAGCATCCTGGCAGCCAGTGGCCGTGCGCTCAACTCGATGGGCGGAGCTTGTCAAGTACAGCAAAGTACAGGGTGTTTGCCCATTGCCAACGAAAAGGATGCTGTGGGAAAGCCGTTGGACTTAACCGAAAGAAGTTACCCTTCGATTGATGGGCGTAGGATGTGGACCTGGAGTTAATTATGGTAATTGATTTGTCAAGCTCCTAAGGATGTGGATATTTGAAGAATGTCTTGGATTGAAAATTAAAAATAAAATATTTTAAAATTGTGTAGAGACTAAAACAAGTTTATAAATATATATTTCTCATTACCAACTTTTGCACTATACTTATCTGACCTGTAGGGCATCCCTTGGTTATCCTTACCGACAACCCCACTTTGCAGGCCACTCCCCTTCGGTTTTAAGCTCCAGCATTCGCTTTGTGCTTTCCTTCACCTGTTTTTGACAGTTTGCCATTATACTTCGCTCAGCAGGAAGCCGCCATGTTTGTGTCCACAACTTTGATGATGGGGGAATGACTCGGAAAGTAAATACGCAGGAGATGGGAGACAGCTCAAACCATGCCCAAGATAACCCTATCACAAACCCTTAAAGCTAACTTTTGCAGACATATGGCCTTCGAAACTCTGAAAAATTCCCCACTAAACAAGTCTGCTAGTAATCGGAGATCCTTATAGGGGCCTAGGGTAACCTGTTGATCTGACTTTTAACTGAAGTTCGATTCCCACGGGATCAGGACCAGAGCAATTAGATCCAAGGCAGAGATAAAGCTGGCCGCTACATTTTACGGATCATTTACCCTAACCAGAACCAGAAACGGGATCAGGAACCACTCGAAGCCGCAGTCGTCACGGTGCAATTGTTGAAATTGAATTATGTTTATTTGATGTTTTGGTTTCCTCGCAAATTAGCCACGTCAGCTCCGTCAGACCCGCCCAGCCGAGCGACCAGGTCGCGTGCCCTGACCCGAGGCGCGAAAATCCGTAGCTCTGCGATCCGGCAAACAAAGGCCGGCAATATGTTGGGGCGGATGCGCAAACCTTTTCATTACCAGACAAATTCGTCGTCGCACGCGTCGGCGCACACTTCACACACCCCGCACACCCTAGAACTCCAAGCTCTGATGACAGTAATCAGGTTTGATGGAGGGTAAGTGCCCGGGTCCGGCGCAGTGCCAGCGATTGAGAGCAGCAGATAGGACTGTGCCAGCGGGGACAAAGCTGACATCCATAAGTGAAATCTTGTTACAAACCAATGTAAACACGATTGTTAATTTAACTTTTGCAATTGCCGCAGGAAAACCGCCCTACGAGCACTGGTTCTGGTCGTAACCCTAAATTGTCATCGCACCACAATTAAATTATCGCATTTCAAGCGAGTGCGCCCAAGGAAGTGTAAATCTCGGACTGTGGGAAACCCAAAAATAAATAGAATGAATAACCTAAGCCCATTTGATTTGCATATAAGAGAATTATCCACAAGGTCTAAGCTGCACTGGAACAGGCCAATCTGTAACCCCAAAGTGAGGTGCCTAATTGAGTTGCTAGCTTTGTGTGTGGGAAGAAGTAGATATTTCAACTTTAAACTTTAATATGAGGGAAATTCCACGTCATAAATAACCTGTATTTGGGTTATCACTGATATAAAACCAATTTAAGATTTGTATTATTAAGAATTTTACTATTATCAAAACTAATCGGAGCTCTTTTTTACCTTAAAGTAAGATTGGCTATTTTAAATTCGATAATCGAGTTGATTAAAGCCAAGCCTCTATTAAGTTATCTCTTTTAAAAATATCAAAAACAGTAGTTGATATTCTCTGGTGATAGTTTCAAGACGTAATATTTCAAAGTTCGCTTTCTAATCAAGGTGGGTGGCGCTCTCCAAGCTATAAAGAACTCTCTGTGACTTTGATTATTTTTAAAGAAATCAAGAAATAATTGGCGAAAGATAATCTACGATCTAGGCGCAGTCACGTCGGAATAATTGAATCAAATGGTTCTCACACACACTGAGCAAATACTACGAAAAACAGATTGATGGTGTCAAGGAGTTGGTGCACCCATCAACCGCAGGCCAAAATGCTGACAGGATGCTTACCAAGGCCGCTCTACAAAAGACCCTTGTCTGGTACATATCGATTAGCGCCCAGACAGCCAAACCAGAGCAAATCCATTCTGAGGGTCCGTATACCGGCACACGACCAAGCACAAGCACCGAGCACTTTTCGGCAGGGATAATCCCACCCCGCTCCACTCGCCGCAACTCCTCGCCCAACCTCATTTCAACCGCAATTCGCTGCGGCTGCTTTCAACTGCCTCGCAGCAATTGTCTGTGAAATTGTTTGTTTATTTTGATGTTGTTTAATGCGTGCTAAGTCCCATTCGCCTTGCCCGAGTAGATCCTGGGAAAAGCAAACATCCTTAGCGCCAGTGCCTGAGGTGAGTTTCCGCTTGAAAATTTGCTTTTTAAGCTTTTCAAGGAGCTTCCATTGGAAATTTGGTTAGAGAATTGTCTGCAGGAATACGGATTGGAGCTTTGGAGGTCCTTCCTGGGCTTTTTTGGATAATAACTTTAGTTTATATTAAAAAGGAAAGTTTATAGAACACTTTCGTTAATATTTTGTAGCATTTTTAAATTTGAACTCAATTTTAAATTCTATAAGATTCCTTTCAATAAAAAATGTACTGCATATCTTCTTGAGAATCAAACATTCTATCCTCGATGGTATTTCTCAGTGTATTAACACTTAAAATGCAAATAAAGTCACCAATAAAGTCAAATAAAAAAAGTTTCATACGAAATACTGCTTATTTGCGTTTTTGTGAGCGCTCAAAATACCATAATTCAAGTGAAATACTTCGGAAATATCGAGGTTTCGGGTGGATCAACCTGTCCCCGATTTTTGGCTAACTTCAGCACGCTTCTCTAGAATTTGCATATCTTTCGAAAAACTCAACTAAATAACACCGAAATATGTACTGATGCCCGGGTTCAATGGGGTTCAGAGATTCAGTCGCGGATGACATTCAGCTGTCACCCGCGCGCACTTCACATCGCTTCTGAATGGGCAAACATGCGAGCTTTTTAGCTCCGAGACTAGCAGTTAGTGATCAATGAACGTGTAAATACATTTTAATGCCGTTCTTTGTGTTAATTATAAAACAAAAGCAAAACAAACAGGCGGCACGAAAAACACGAACAAAAACTTAACTACTAGATGTGTGCATGCCGATCTTTAAATGCTCTCAAATTGCTGTGAATATTATTTAGAAGCTAAATATTAAAGATACAACTGATTTCCTTGAATTTTCATAAGATAAAAACTTTATCTAATATTTCTATATAATTTTTTAAGATGAGTATTAAATATTAATTTAAAAGAGTATACAGAAACAAACCTTATTAGCTTTAATATATTTATAGTATTTTAAAAACGATACTTCAAAATTATTACTATTTTAAAATAGTTGTATTTTTATGTTAGCTACAGGTGTTTTAATTTGTTTCTATTGAGTTTTAAAGAGCTTTTCAGTGCACGCAAAGATGAGCGTTTAAAGTAGCAGTAATGGTTTTAAGCATTATAAATAGCAATAGGCTACGGACACTACAGCATACCCTACCGAGTTAATACTATATATTTTTTTAATACAGTGTTAATAGCCGATTTTCGTTCGGGTTTCGGGACTCTGCCAGCACCAGAAATATTCGCGTAATACCCTCTGCAGCGGCGTGTCGCTAAATTTCGATAGTCGCCGCTTTAGCCTCTGGTACTGACCAGCCAGTCAGTAGTCACTTGTCCAGTCGCCAAGTTGCTCAGTTAGCCACCGTCCGCCGCTGGGTTCGCACGTTGCGTCAAGAAGAAACACTCCCGGATTGAGTGACCCGGGTTTTATCGGGAACCCATTGACCATTGGCCATTGTTCTGGAACCCCTCGAGGAGGAACTAATCCCAGCGAATGCCAACACGTCTGGCCAATTTTGGGGCAATTGGAACGTGATTTATGTGGGGCAACCGAGCGCGGTTCCGACTCCGATTCCGATTCCGAGTGGGCCCCCCCATAGAGCTGGTGATCTGGGATCCGCGCGAGTGTCGCTGGTCAGTGTCCAACGGAACCCAGCCAATGCCGGTTTGATAAGCGCCGCGAGTGTGATTGATAAGAGTGCGGAAAGAGGCGCCAAGTCGTAAATGAAGTGAGCCAAAAGCCAAAAGCTAAAACTGAAACTGAAATTAAATAAACAAATAGAAACCCCGATAATAATTAGTATACAATCAAACGGAGAAGGCAGCAAAATGGCAAAGCGTGCTAGCTTAACCCACGACAGCCCATCGCTGGAACTGGAGTTGCCGCTGCTGGCGCCGCAGGAGCGGAGTTCGCGGAGCAGGAGCGGGACAAGTGAGTATACCACCCTACCATGTGGTCTCGTCACCCCTCCCTCCCAGTTGGGCCATTAAACCAGTTAACTTGGTCAAAACAACTGGCTAACTGGCACACACCACACACACACTGGCCATAAATCAGTGACACTTGCACGTTGCAATGCAACAGCCGGAGTTGGGGGGCCAAGAAGGGGCCAAGCTATACTGCGGACCTCGCTTTGTATTCCCAATGCCCCTGGCAGATCGAATGAGAATAGGAATTATTTGTATTGCCATTTAATTTATGGAAATCGTGTAGCGCCAATCCAATTAGAATATTGCCAATAAAATCAAGACTGACACAAGTCCCGCCTGAAATTAAAACCAAAACTCTGGACCAAGTCGAGCCCCTCCTCCCCGTCTGGTATTTCTATTATTTCTTTCTATATGTCAACAGTGTTTATACCCTACCCCTTTCCCTCGTTTGTTGTTGTTGTTGTTTGGTTCATTGATAAAAGCTCGGCATCAGTTTATTCCCCACTCAAAAGCTAATTATTTCTGTCGTTTGTGAATTAAAAATAAACCCAGCACATTTTGCCCACACATCTGTTCAGCCCACAAAAACAATGCTACAAACAAAAACAATAGAAGTAACGTTTATTATGGGAAAACATTGTAAAAAGATAAAGAGGCACTTTCTATCGCATGCTGAACAAGAAATATCGCATGCGAGAAAAGACCGCTTAGCATTAAGGGTGGAAAATGCTTAGGGAAAACTTCTAAATAAATATGGGATATATTTGGAAAATATTGGGAGAATATAAGAAACCGCAACAACCCAATTTTAATAATTTTAATTTAATTAAAAAAGGTAGTCGATTTAAAGTCACAATTTTTAGTTCAAAAGGCATAACATTGTATTTGATAACCTAGTTCCACAGCTAATAAATATCATGTTTCATTTGAAAATTACATTTTAAAAAATGTTTCATTCATAAGAATAAATTGACTGCTTTTCTAATTAATTCGATCACTCACTTTACAATTTTTTCTGTAGTCACTTATACCAAAAATAGTTTTTGAAACTACCCCATTGCATTCTTTGATGAATTCTAAATTTAACTAGAGCAATCATACGAAATTCTTTATTGACAACAACCTGTCCGATGGCTATGACAAATTTATTATATTAGCTATAAGAACATTTCTTTGTTATTTGCCCTTGGAAAGTGGGTATTTCCTCAGCAATGGCAAGTCAACAGGATGCATGATTAAGATGTACACTTACGACGAATTAATTGGGTTGGCCCACCAATGAATCATGTGTACATATTTAATCAAAATATTGAGATAGTAACAACCCGAAGTCGGTAAATACTGATAGGGAATTGAAATATTTGGCGAAGATATCCTAATCTTTTCCGCCACTAATAATTTAAGGTTCAAGCTTGATTTCACAATTAGCGCCGTTTATGGCAATCAATTAGCAACAATTTACCCAGCGGACAAGGAATCTTGTTTGTTATCATGGATGTGAATGGAACTGGGCAGAGCTCACTGGGCAACTTTGTCTTGTAGTTGGCTTTATTCAAAGCAAATAAATAATACATTTTCGCGTAATGAGACAAACTAACAATAAACAAGCGGCAGACCCCATGGCCCCGCCAGCCATAAATCAATAATAAACCGGCACACTTTGTAGCCGAATTCCGTCAACAATTATTTGGACATCGTAGAGAGAAAAATCATATAGCTGGAGATCTCTCCGTTCTCTCGCTCTCTCTCTGTCAATAGTATTATAAAACACACAAATATGGGTCCCAGAAAATTGCCATTAAACAATCATCATCAACTAACCATCCCGAAATAAATACGGGCTACAAAACAAAGGCAACATCAGCGCCACAGAAGTGTCAACAAGTTGTCAGAATAATATTTGATGTGATCTATCAGGCAAATTGTTCACGACAATAGGCATTAGAGTAAAACCCCCGTCGATCGTCGAGTGATGAACGATTCTCTCGGCACGCTCCGCCAATCGGCAGCCGATCTCAGCCAGGGTTTTCGGTGTAACTGCAGTTCAAACACCAGAGATATAGCCGTATAGCCTTATCCATTTGATCAATTGGTTAATATCATTACAACTCTGACGGAAATGGAAAGGGGTTGGTGGAAATAGAGAGGATTTTGGGTTTGTTTATGCCGAAACTTGAATACACTATCTTACATATATTAATTTTACATATATTACAAGAATTGATTTAATTTAAATATAGCTTTTAAAAGATACGATTCCATTATGCATTTAAATCTTTATTTAATAATTATCCAACATTAAAGTAAGCTATTTTATTAAGTAACGTATAGTAAAGAGACAGTACGTTTCCTTGAAAGAAAAGAAAAGGGTGGGATTGTCAATGAAGAAAGCATTTTTATACCCTTGCAGGGTATTATAATTTCAGTCAGAAGTTTGCAACGCAGTGAAGGAGACCTTTCCGACCCTATAAACCATATTTATTCTTGATCAGCATAAACAGGGGAATCTTTCTAGACATGTCCGGAAGAAATCGAGTTTTTGGCCATTTTTGCGAAATTTGATAAGGGGTTACATCATTAAAATTAGCAAAAATTTTGATTTCTTAATATTTTAAATTTGGTTTGCAGTTTTTTTAAATTAATAAAAACTAACACAAAACTGCTTTCTGAATCGAAATTAATGCATTTTTGGCTTAGTTATGATATATTTTAATTGTTACTGCAAGGTATGTTGTTGTTATAATTTCATTATTAGTTTCCCTATATATATTTTTATAATAAATTAACAGAAAAAATTAATGAATTTTCCTTAGTTCAAAGCAGATAACCACTCTTTAATAATTACAGTTCAATGTATAAAACTTTAGAGTTTTAAGAATTCAAAAGCTGTACTTTTGGGGCAATCTTTTGTTCCATACGTTTACTTTCTGTTATGATCATCATTATCCTCTAAAACATTATACCTTTTTTAACTGCTTTGTAATAATTAATTATTGCTCAAGTGTCCAGGCTAGTGCATCATCAGTATCATTAGTCGGAAGAACCATTTTTATGGCAGTGTACTGGCAGTAATGCTGAGTAAAGCAATAGGTGCCGGCGATTAAATAACAACAGCAACAGTTTTGCGCGCCACGCGAAGCGAAAGCCGAAGAGCGCGCTCTTAGGCATTAGAAAAGGCCCGAGTGGGGCTAAAGAGAACGCGCATCAGGTGCAGCAGCAGCAGCAGCAGCAACAGTAGCAGTGGCAGCATCAGCAGTAGCAGTAGCAATAGCAGCATCAGTAGTAGCAGCAGTAGCATCAGCAGTAGCAGAGCAGCGGCGGAAGCAACAACACAACACAGCGCTAGGCATCGCACAGTAGAGCCTTTTCTCATTTAACGTTGCAAAAATCATTACTTAAAAAGCAAATAAAAAAATTAAATATTTTAAACAACATTCGGCAGGTAATTGTTGTAAAATGTATATATATATTGCACAATGTGCCACCTTTGCCTTTTTTAAGTGTTGCAAAGAATAAAAATTCAATTTGTTTACAAGAAAAAATGTGAATTAAAATGATAATAAAAATATATATATATACTACTTTTTTTAAACTGTAAAAAAAATTACATATTTATTTTGTAATTCAGATTTTTTTTAATTCAATTATTTAAATTTGATGTCTATTGTAATAACAAATAAAATTCGAATGTATTTAAATCAGAATGACCTTCAGGTGGGGTTTTTTTAAACAGTTTTTTTAATTTATCCATCATTAAGAGAAAAAACCATGACAATTTGTGATCAATTATTAATATTATTTATTAAATTTACCCAGTTTTTGTTATAATGCAGAAAACGAAAAAAGTTCAACTTTAAAAGCTCATATTTTCTAAAAAAATCCTAAAATTATTTGGGTAGCAGATTCGGAACCTTGACGGTATGGTTTATTTCTTATTTCTGCAACGGTGTTTGTTCAAGAGGCGCTACTGTGCGTCGCCGCAAAGAATGGTCCAAGTTCGCAGCAGGATGCGAGCATCCGAGTAAGAGCATCGTGTCCCCACAGCAACATCTGCTGGCGTCGCTGCCTTGGGGCCGGCAGAGAGGGAGCCACAGAGGCGAAGGTTATAAAAGTGGTTCGCCGCAGAGACGAGCGCTCAGTTGCTCTTGGTCAGTCGCCGTGTGATGTGCTTGGTCGCGCAACGGAACAGCCATCGTCGTTGTCGTCGTCGTCGTCAAATCGCAATCCCATCCTCAGCCTCAGCGTCTAGGAAATAGTGCGAATCAAGAGCAGGAAGCAGCGGTCCGTGGTTCGAGGTGCGAGATTCGAGACTCTAGCATCGAGATCCGTGGCGTGGGAGCGGGAGCGTGTGGGTGCGTGAGTGCGCATAGTATAAAATTAAATAAACGAAAAGAAATGAAACAAAATGAAACAACAGCAACGGCAACGGCAGCAACAAATGCGAGTGGCAACAATGATGCTATATATACTGATATACCAAGATGAGACGGGCAGAGCGATGTGCCGATATATACGGACGCTGGGACTCATGGTTCTGCTGCTGTTTCCTCCCAAGACGGGCGGCCAGACAATGTTTGGACAAGCCATAAATAATGGGAGCGAGCAGCAGCAGCATCAGCGGCGGCCCACACAGCCCTGGCTGAAATTTCATAATTTCATTCGCTCTATTATTATTAGTATTATTATTATTTGACGTTATTATTTACTAGAGTGCCGTCGCTCATTGGTCCACTCGTGTTTGTTTCCAAATTGCAAATTGCTGTTGGTTTAGCGGGAAGCGCGCGCGAATAATTTGCCCATAGGCCGCACCACGCTGCGTATGAGCAATGGAAATGCATCCGAATTCATGCACGCCACCGGACCACGTGTCGAATGCGTAATGCCGCTTTAGCCATATCGTATTTTCCCCAAAAAAGAGACAGCAGCGTAGTCGCTCGTAAAATCAGACAGCAGCAGCACGGCAACGGGAACGGGAACGGAAAGGGGAACAAGAACTGCTGCCTGATTTTATGTTATGTGTCAGTTTCCGTTCAGTGCGCTTCTCTGCCCGTAAATTTATTCCAAACGTAAACGTAAAACAGCGAGAAAAATAAAGTAAAATTCAACAACAAAAAAAAAGGGGAAAGAAAAACAAACAAAAACACAAGCGACAAACGTGCGACGGATTTCCGCGCCAAGACACCATCAAAACAAAAGCTCCAGCAACAGGAAGCGGGCTAGGAAGTCACCATCAGCCATCTGAGCCATCAGACTGCCAATTGTGCAGCAGGACGCGTGCTGCAGGATTGCCTGCGCCAGTGTCTCCCGCAGCAGCAGCAGCAACAGCAACATCAGTAGCGGCTTTACAGTAGCAGGAGCAGCAACTTGTTTTTTACATCCATAAGGTAAGCTCATTACGGACACAGGCTGCCTCGTAACGTTGACAACGCAACCAAAATCAGAAAGTACCGACCACAGAATACCGGGCTCTCAAATCAAGGCCTTCTTTTAAAAGGAACTTCCTTTTTTAGTAGCTCTAAAGTGTTTTTTTCAGAGGGTATTGTTAATATTATTTGTTATACGATGATATATGTTTTTATTATTATTATCTTTACATAATGTTCAATATACCCATTAACTCTCCAAGTACTAGGTATAGCCAGTGTGTGTGTGCGATAGTCCTGGCATGGCATCCTTGCTCGCGGACGTGCCGCCAGCGACGTTTGCTTTGCTCTCCTTTGTTTGTTTATTTGTGCGCCTTTTTTTTTTTTTTTTTTTTTTTTTTTTGTTTTTTTGTATATTTTTTCTTGTTTTTTGCCGCCCGAGTCTATTTGTTTGTCTCTTGCAACAACAACAACAAAGGCAGCATAAATGGTAGCAGCAGGATAACAACAATGAGGATAACAACAATGACAACGACAATGACTTTATCCTGACAGATTGTTGAAGCCAGAGCTTTAGTCCCTCTGGTGTAGCATCTATGTATATATGTACGGGGCCCACTCAAAGTATCTGAATTCGCAACGAGGATTTTCCCGTAAATTGTAACCATAAATGACATAAACGGAAATGGTCTTTAAAAAAAGGCCTGTAACATGTCAGTGCTAACATGGGAAAATTAAGTGATTTTGAGAGGATTTATCGATGCAAACTATAGGGATTTGCAAGTAGGATGTTGCTGCTTAAATTAAGAATCGATTTATATTTTGTTTTTATTGTGTCCTAGAATATATACATCTTATATATACATCTAACTATGATTTTTATCCCAGAAAACTCTTTAATGACCAATAAATTGCCTTTAAAAATTCCAATTTAAATATTTTTTCATACCTCAGGGAAATTAAGGGTTAAGCTAATATACATTTCTCCATTCCCTTTGCATTTATTTATAACATCCCAAAGCTCAAACTTATGGATTAATGGGCCGGTCACAAGTCAGATTCAAAGGAATCTCGTTCTGGCATTTGCCTTCGAATACCTCCGAGGAATCAGAGACGAAATACAAATAAAGGAGGCGAGTCTGGAAAGTCAAAGACTCATGGAAATGAAATTGAAAACTCCACATGGCTGAACCCAACGAGCCATAACCCGGCATTGAACATATTGAGTGGCTCATAAGCATATTTTAATGGGCATGGGAAATCCCGACAATGCAGCCAGCAAGAGATTTGCAGACGGCAGAGGGAAACAAACAAACATAGCTGGCAATCACCTGGCGCCGGTTCCCAATCCCCATCCCCATTCTGATCCCACCTCCAGCTATTCCTCTTTGCCGTTAGGTTATGCTAATGGCGGATGCTTTGACTCTCGCTCTGGCACTGATTGGAAGCGCATAAAAGTAGCAAATCAGTGCGCACTTTGAAATGGAAATTCTAATCAAAAAGGCGCGCTCCTCAACAATGGATGGGGGCTCAGAGTTGGGGGCATCTCTGCTGCTTAGCTGGCTAAATTTGAAATTGCCAAACGATTTGCTATTCGATTAACAAGACACGGCCCGCGGGGCATGGGGAAATGGATGTAAAAGGCAAAAGCAAAGGCAAAAGGACACATCATCAGCGGCAGACAAGCAGAAATGGAAATAGATTTGTGAATTCATGTTGACAACAATGGATCAGCGGCAGCATTCGCTTAAACATCCATATGGATTTACATTAAAAGTGAAGCTAAATAGAAACCAAATATGGTGCTACATCAGACTAGGCTTGTAAAATTGTAAATACCCTTACCAAAAAGAATATATAATATTTACTAGAAAGGATTTTATATTGAATTTCCATCATTACTATAATATTTATGATACAGAGTTGGAAGTTAGAAGGGTTTGCTTTTGCTATCCCCTTTTGAACTAAAAATTTGAGCAGTTTTTTAGCAATTTAACTAAGCTTTTCTAAAGGAAAATTCTTAAATTAAAATGGACAACATATATACCTTTTGTTGGCGCCATTTCGCCCTCGGCTGATGACCTATATTCCTTTGTTTGGCTCTACAACACCGGACGGACGGATTCCGGCTGCGAGTCCGGTCCCAGTATCCTCTGCTTCATCGCATCTCTGACTTTGTTTACGGACGGCCAACTGCAGGACCAAGCCGAAGCGGTTAGGGAGAGGGACAGGGACTGGACAGGACATCCAAGCGGCAGCTGCAAGCCTGGACCGAGTGCCCAAGGTAGGCGGCAAACGGCAGGAAGGAAGGAAGCCAGTAAGGACCCTTCAAATGTGAACGAGAACGAAACGGAATTGCCATATTACAATGTTTCCAGCCCTCTCGCTGCTCCTTCCGCTGTAATTTTTTTTTGCTAAATAAAAGATATCCGCTGATGAAATTGTACCAAAGGGCTTTTGGGACCTTAAATCCCCCTAAAAGGTAGCGAAAATTTGCATAATATATCAACAAACAAGCACACATGCACACGCACACACACGGAGGGGAGGGGGCGGGCACGCCCACCTCATAAACTTTAAAATACTTTGTGGCTTGGCTGGCTTTTCAATTGATTTGAATTGATTTGATCCTTGTGCGTGGGAGTGGATTCGAAGGGGATGGGGGGAGGCCCACTTCATTGTAATGATTTTGGCATTCGAAATTCTGTGAAAATTTGCCATTTTATGGAATCCGATCACACAAAATTGTCAAGCTGCCTCCAATTTGTGGCAATCAAATGTGCGCCAATCTGTTCGGTGGGCTTTTGTGGCTTATAAAGTTGCAAAATGTGTTCTCGCATTGATATGAAAATTGCTGACAACTGCTCATTTTTGGATGCCATTGGTTTTGTTGGTTTTCCAGGAATTTATGGTATTTTTATAGCTCATTATTTGGAGTTTAAATTTGAAAATGATATAGCTTCATGTAACGTTGTTTTACTTAAATATTTAACTTACTAATCCTTAATGACAGTTGTATTACTTTTCATTGTAATTGTTAGAAAAGGTGTTATAGCACGCGAATAATAATTATTTAAGCTTTGTAAGCTATGAATAATTCACTCGTCTTGTTTTTCTCAAAGTTTATGATGCCTGAAATTTGTATATAGGGCCTTCCATATATTTATTTTCCTTTGTTTTTTCCTCTGGAAAAGCAAACGTAAATTTGCGATATTTGGCGTAAAGTCAAGAAACAAAATTCGATCGTTAACTGCCTGATTTAATTCCCAATTAGTCGCATTAGTTAGCTAATGCGGGGGCTCTAAACACTGTAGTTTATAGTTTTGTGTTCCAATTTGTTTACTCAGTGCCAGAATCAATTGTGTTTAATGGCGAAGCGTGAACTCGTAAATTTCAAAAGCTAAAGTCGAAAGACGATCGGGCCGAGGACGGTCCGTTTGCAGTGTGTTCGTGCGCAAATTGGCGATATGGAAAGTTCAAATGGAATTGTTTACAACTCGCAGGGGGTGAAAATCGAATATTAACAATAGCCGCGGGCCGAACTAAATGCAATTTGCTAACTAAGCGTTGCTCATACGCCCCGTGGTGTGCGCTGCCTTTTGTCTGCCGTTGTTTGTGCCGTTACTTATCTGAAAGCGGCTGTCACACAGCTGCAATTAGCCTGACAAGTGATGAAGTGAGGCTGGCCAATGCTATAAGATGACGGGCCGTCATCCGGCGGGATGCTCTGCCTCGCCCTGCCCACCCGAAGCTTCCATCTCACAGCCATCTCAGTCATCGTCATCGCTCATCCGCACCGAGGGCCACTTGTCGGTGCAACGGAAGCGCAGCTCATTGCTGCGTGCAAGTGTCTGAAGATTACTATTACCCACTTGGCAGCAGTAGCAGTCCTCCTCGCTCCTCCTCCTCCTCCTCCTCCTCCGCGGAGAGGAGGCTGCATAATAAACAAATCAAATCCTATAAATGTGCAAATTAGCTGGCAACGTCACCGAGCCATGCTTGGTGCACAAATGCAAATCCAAATGCAGATGCGGCAGCAGGCGTCATCATCATCATCGTCATCATCACCAGCCCCCGGCACTCTTATTTCGCTTCTCTATCGTGGCATGAAAGTGAATGCACTTTTATATGCATGACGGCTAATTACAGCGACAATTTGTCTGCCTCTCTCCGCCCCGCCCCGCACCTCATTCCCATTCCCTTGCCTCCCCGAAGATAAACGCTTTGCCTTTGTATTACAAATATTTAGCACATTTCGGCTTTTGTGATTATGACGCTGCTGCGATTCTTACTCGCTTCTGATTATTTACACCCGGCCAGTTGTAATTGTCTGGGGAAACCCCCCTGAATTTGTCATTGTGCGAGATTCGTTGGGGCTGCTTAAGCGGCTGAGAATTCCGCGGAAGCATTACGAAGTGATAATGGAATATATATAGGAAGAAAAGGTATAAGAAGTTACTTATTTTTTCATAAGCTTCTTAAAAAATATGATAGCAAACTTATTAAAATTAAGTATAACAATTTAACGAATGCCCTAAGAAATCTCATGTACAAGAAATTTTTTAAAGATTTATTTAAGTTGTTTACCTCACTGTTTATTTGAAAGTAATTTATGATAAAACTTTTATTTATATTTATATATATTTCCTTTTTTTTGTTAACCAAACCTTAGAGTGTGTTTGGAATTTCCTTTAATTTTAATATACCTTAACTTTGGGAAATAGTTTAACAATATTCCCAAGAAAATTGGTCAAAAGAAATTTGTGCACTTATCGTAAATTTGAAATATATGTGTGAAAATGACTTAAGTGCGAGGGAAACTCCGCACACATACACTCCCTATGTTAATTAAATTTATTATTCATTCATCTTTTATGATACCGGGAACAATTTCTCGCATATTTATGCAAATATGAGCAACAAGAAAGCCTCGCTCTCTCTTTCACCCTTTCTCAATTGTCTTTAGCGCCGTCTGCTATTAATTTTTTTTTTTCGCTGTTGTTAATTAACCAGGAATGGAAGCTAAGCAAATTATTAATGGCCAGTGGGGGTGAGTGAGAGAGAGCTCTGGCATTGACTTTTCAATTGAAACAAATCATTATTAGAGGAGCTTGTGTGTGGATCTTGTTCAATTGCGGCGCCCCGGCGCTGGCGGATCGTGTCAAGAGATCCAAAGCGGAATCTCCTCCCTGGGAACTGATGGTTCTATGGTGCCAGCATGCATTTCTATGAACGTGTATGGAATTATAATTAGTTATTTATGGCCGCAATGTAAACGTAATTACCAATTGGACATGGGCCATTGCAGCTCGATTAGCATGGGGTGTGAAAATTGCCTGCACTATCTAACCATGTATCTTTAATACTACAATGAGCTCGCTGTTGGGTTATGAATAAAAAAATATAGTAAAAAACAGAACGAGAACTAGATCGCGTAGATATATTGCGTCAATGACCAGTTCTGCTCTTTATGGACAGCTGTCGGGGAGATAAACTAGGAATTGACTGATGTACTTCTCTGTGGTTTGAATAACTTAATGCAAAGCAAGTCAATTAAATATTAATGTGCACATCAAACCATAAATTCAATTATTTTTATAACCAAACACTTCATAGAAGTGAATTCTTGACAGATTAAATATTATTTATAGTTTTTCAATGTAATAAAACTAAGATAAGGAATTTATGTATATTTTTTTCTGTGTTTTCACAGACCAAGTGTTACATTTATGTAATTTGTAACAAACTTTTGATATTTTCAAACATAAACATTTCATTTCCCTGACAAAATAACCTTATTATGACACCATTCCTTTAGTTTATGTAGAATTTAATACCTTTAAACGTTAAAAATTCTTGAGAAAAAATATTTATTAGCTGTCATAAGGTTCCATCATTTAAAATGAATGATTTATAATTAAATCAAAATCCCTTAACGTCAGCTTTTCATTTATTAATTGAGTTATTTTAATCTCAAAACCAGGAACCTGTCGATTTGTCAAACTGTCCGATCATATCATTTGGTATCTGTGATAGGGGAGCAGCAGGAGCAGGGATGGGGAGCTGGGCAGCTGGGGTGTGACCAGGCCGACAACAGCTGCAGAATGCAATTAGCGTTATTTTCAGCGTGCCATGATATTGCACATACGCCATGTGCGCCGTGCGAGTTGAAGGTAAACGACGACTACGTAGTTTATAGCATTGAAATTGAGCCGTTGTGCCCACACGACGACATGGCGACGACCTTCGCCAGCAGTTGCATCTGTGGCAGTAACGCCCAGCAGTGCCCATCAGCGCCCAGTAACTCCATTGGCCAAAAGCTAAGCCCCAGCAGCAACTAAAACTGCCAGAGGACGAGGACATGGAGCCATATGGAAGGAAGGGTGCCTATAAAATTGATAATTAATTATCCTGCCTGGGTAACAGGACAGGAAACTGGTACTGGGACGGAGGCTGCAGAATAGCGAATGTGACGTGGTCTGTGCCCGCGGCTTTTCGCGGACACGCTTCGCTTATTCCTGTTTACAAGTGCGTGAAAATGTGCGCTCAACTGCTTATCACGTGCGGCGTATGGCGTGAATTTTACTGCCGCAGCCACATCCAAATCCTCATTCTCGTGCCACCGCAGCCGCAGTGCCCAGTGGCCACCCGGTCACATATGCTAAATCCCGTCCTAAATGGAATATCTCTTCCGGGAGCTTGGACATATGCAAATTTAGCTCTGGGCCCGCAGAGTTTGCGCCATAAATGTTGGCATTGCTGATTGATATGTGAGAGTATTTGATTCATGGCTTGTCCTGGAATACCCGCCCCGCTGACAAGTTGCTGTGTACAAGAGAAGTTAGGAGATTTGATTTGAAACCCTTTGAGTTATTTATTTTAGCATTCTGACATCAACTGTAGTTCTCTTTACTGAATAATCCCTGGGTAATCCTAAAATCTTCCTGGCCTACCTATACAATTGCCTTTATCCAGCGGGTAAATCGCTTAATTTGGCTTGATTATACCACGTTGGTAAATCAACTGAAAAGAATTAAACACTTAAGTCGGCCAACTAAAGTCCAAGTAAAGTAATGCCTGAGGAAAAGTTTGTCCGTCTGCTGCCTACTTTTGGGCATTGATACCTTCGGGCTCAACTACATATATGCTTTGGATCCATTCCGGCCAAAGCCAAAGCCCAGACAAAGCCAATGCGCTGCTGCGAAAGCCACAAAGGAAATCGCAAACGGGGCAAAGCGGAGAAAGGATGCGGCGCTTGGAATGGGGGAAAAAGTTCAACCAGCAAAAGGACACGAACATGGCAGGAGCACGAAGCATCCCCTCCTCTGGCGGCTCCACCCCAAACGCAATTACATTAAATCTTGGCTATTATTCTTCTACTTTGTAGAGCTGCCTCGGTTCGGCCTGGCTCAGTGCTCGGTGCTCGGTGCTCAGCACCCAACTTTCGCCGGTCTCGGGCTGCTGCTGTGGTTAATCGCCTCCAACGTGATTGAATTCCATCGAACGCAGGTTGACCAATGACCGGACACAGGCATCCTTGGCCGGGATCACAAGCTGGGAGCTGATGGCCTGAAGCTGGGAGCTGGAAGCTGCTAGCTCGGAGCGGGGGTTGCCCTAATAAATGAAATAGAGCCGCTTGACTTGACTGCATTCGAACTGTTTCTGAGAGGCTTTCGGATTCGCCTTCGCCTTTGCCTTTGCCTTTGCTTTGCCTTTGCCTTTGCCTTTGCCTTTGCCTTTGCCTCCAACTTGGTTTATGGCCAGTCACTGACCACTTAACTAATTGCTCCTTTGTGTGCTCCTGACACGGGCAATAAAATTAATTCCACTGTATCCACAGCAACCGCAGAATTCGTTGCGTTTGGCATCTATCAAGTCAATTATTTGCATGTTCCCCTCAGCTAAATCTTGCCAATCTGCATTCCCGGCCTTTATTTATCTTCGGTTGATGGAGAACCGAATGTCTTGAGGCTCTAATTGTGTTTGGTGTGTTACTTAATTGAGTAGTTTATTTGATAAATAAAACTGGGTTAAGAGAATCATATTGGTTGGGAGATTCTGTTTACTAAAAATATTTATTAAGAGGTCAAAGAAAGAGACATTTAGTTTTCCGCAATGAATACCATTGATAGGTTTTTATTCATCTTTAAAAATTTTAATAAATTTTATAAAGTTCAAAGGGAGCTTTTTGGCTTTAATATTACTTAAATCCTCACAAACAATAAAGAAAATTACTATATTATTTAGCAGTGAATTAAAAATATATCCTAAACCCTTTTATCTTCCAATAATTTCCATATTTTAATGTTTTTCCCTTTCAACTTACCTTCCAGTTCCTTTGTGCATTATGCACGACACCGGCAAGCCGTCCCCCACCGCAACCACCAGCCCCACCATCCCGCCCAGCAAGATGACAGCAACGCCCCAGTCACCAGCTGGTCTGGATCCCCAGGCCCCAACGGACGACGAGGACGAGACCGATGTGATCGGTGACCTAATGGGCCACTACGGCAAATGGCAGCTGCTGATGACCGTGCTGCTGTCGCTCTTCCAGGTGCCCAACACCTTTCACATATCCTCTTCAATTTACCAGGCGGCCAACAAGGACTTCTGGTGTCAGCGGCCAGAGGAACTGCAGCAGCTGCCAGTGGACGTCTGGCGCAATCTCACCGGCTCCCTTGACAACTGCCACCGTTGGGAGGGCATCGACTGGAGTCAGGTGGGCAATGGCACAGCGATGCCCACAGAGTGGAAGGTGAGCGGGAGGGAGTACCTTAAATTTAAACACCTTCTGACTGCTATCCATCCTATTTTAGAAACCACCAGATGGGGATAGGCAGTTGGTGGCCTGCGAGAAATGGGAGTACGAGACGCATGACAATGTGGGCAACACCTGGACATCGGAGTGGGATCTGGTGTGCGACAAGGAGCACCTGAAGAACGTGGCCGAGATGTTCTTTCTGCTGGGCGTGGCAACAGGTGGCATCCTCTCCGGCTATTTATCGGACAAGTTCGGGCGCAAGAAAATGCTCTTCATATCGGCCGTGCTGCAGACCCTATTCGGTGAGTACTGCTCTGTGCATAAAGGCCATCGCATTCTCCTGTGTTTGTGTGCCCCTGCACACACGGAAGTCACAGCGACATTGGCCCTGACGATGTCCTCCTCCGGTGACTGTGAACTTGGCCATGCCGACGGGGGGTCAACACGAGCACATCGAGTGGCTCTCAGTGGGTTTTGTGTGGGGTCGGTTTGTCAGGTGGTCGAGTGGTCGATGTGTCGAGTGGCTGAGAGGGTCGGCTGGGGACTCGAGCTGCAGTTGTGGCTGCCAGGCGGCTCTTGCCAGCCAGCCAGCCTTGTTGTCCTTGTTGATTAAATCTCACACAATGTATAATTGAAATTTGCATCCAAAAGGACATTACTAATGAGGGACTGGCACGTGTGCGGACTTTCCCACTGATTGCTCTGCTGCATTGCGACGGATTACTTTGGTTAAGATGTCACTGGGTTACTAAGGGAGAGCTTAAAGTTTTATCCTTAAATTTATAGCTTTGACTTAAGTTCTGAGCAGTTTAAATTCTTAAGGTGCTTAAGTTTAGCGTATTGAACATTTATATGACTTACAGACTTACTTTACATTACTTTTTAAGAGCAATAGATTAATTTATTTTTAAATTATTATTATTTAATTATATTCTCAGGCCTCTGGCTGTACATCTGCAGCTCCTTTGAGCTCTACTTGACGCTCCGTGCCCTGCTGGGCCTGGTATCCGTATCGGTCACCTACTCGGGCCTGATCCTGGCCATCGAGTATGTGGACGGCAAGTGGCGGACTCTTGCCGGAATGTACAACCTGTTTCCACTGCCAATATCGTACATGATCATCTCGGGCCTGGCCTATCTTACCCAGGACTACCAGCGCCTGCAGCTGTGCATCGGGGTTCCCGGCATCTTCCTCTGCCTTCTCTGGTAAGAATTCTTGACCGTTTGAACGGAAGGTAAACAAACAGCGAAAAGCTAAGGTATTGTGCTCAGAATAACAGATTTATTCGCATGTGTCCGCATCTGGGTGTATATAGATCACGGACTGGTGAATAAATGGGGGAAAGCAGGTGCGTGGGTGTTTCCCCGCCACTATAAAAAGAGGGGCATCATTTGCCGCGGCACATGTTTCGCTTGATAAATGGCGCTGTTTCCCTTCGATCTCTTTTGCTTTTGTATATATTCCTAGTATATATCTTTCTGTACCGATATCCGGCAGGTTTGTGGTACCGGAATCACCGCGCTGGCTGCTGGTCAAGGGTCGACTCGACGAGGTGCGTCGGATTATTGAGGCAGCCGCCAAGTTCAATGGACGTCAGCTGCCCCCCGATTATCAGCTGACGCCGCCGACGCAGGAGAGCAGCTCGCAGGACGTCACCTACCTGTTCCGCTCCAGCTACCTGCGCCGCATCTCCATCTGCTTCTTCTGCATCTGGTTCACCATGAATCTGGTCTACTACGGCATCATTCTCAACATGAGCTCCTTCGGCGGCAATGTCTACTTGAATTCGGTGAGTTTTATTGCGTATACGCAGCGGGGGCGCGTTAAGTATACGCAGGGTCGCCTGGCACAATCACTTTGGAAAGACTTCATCCAGCATCCGAAATCGTGTCAGCATATAGGATCAATCAAGCGCATTTAGCAAGTGCCAAGTGGTGCTGCTGATGGCTGATGGGCGCCTAATTGGATTTGTCAGCGCTTCCATCAGCCGAAGAGCGAGAAGAATGTCTGTTGGATGTCAAGTGCCGCTGGTTCGACCACTGGACTGTGTGAAAATGTGTTTGCAATCGAATTATGATGTTGCCTCCTCCCACTGCCCTTTCCCAGCCCAAATAGATAATAGATGTGCCCGTGGATAATTCCTGCCGCGGCCGCAGCCGCAGCCATCTTAGCCCCCCCAACTGGCAGTTGGCCAAATGGATGTTGAGCACAGTGCTGACGGGCCTTGGATTAGCGGCCAAAGAGTAAACAATATGCAAAACATGCTCGGCATTTGTTTCGGGATTTGATTGTTTTAAAACGCTAAAGCGCTTAAGGTTGTCTGATCTCTGTGTTTGCTTTCCTTTGCACGAGCAATTCGGTAATTAGTTTGATTTTGTGGGGTATTGACTTTAAAATGGAAAGTTGCCATGTCAAAGCACTGTCTGGCATATAACTTATGGTCTTTATTACTATATTGGTGAATTGAAAACATAAATTTGTACTAAAGGAAAGAATATGAAATAATTAAAATATTCATAAATCATTTTAAATTATTTTTATCACAATCAAGTTAATATCAATTCCACTATTATAATCAATAATGTTAGAGAAATTTAAATTTAATTTCCCTTAAATAAATTCACGCTAATTGTTCATCTCTAGCCAAAAAGTAACAATGGGTACGCCAACGGGCTTCTCAGCTAATTTATTGCATAATTTATTTTGACATCGCCGGGCGCACCTTTGATGCCGCTCTGATTTAATGCGGCCCGCCGACAGTTGACATCTTGTCCACTTGCCCAGTTCATCCGCTCATCCTCTCCTCCTTGTCTCGTCTCCCCCACAGGCGCTAGCTGGCCTAGTCGAAATACCCGCCATCGCCGTGGCCATGTACATCATCACCAAGGTGGGCAAGAAGTGGCTCTTTTGCGCCACTTTCATCTGTACCGGCGTCGCCTGCTGCTGCGCGGCAATCACCGAGGGCCAGCCGGAAATGCTCTGGCTGAAGATCACATTCCTGATGATAAGCAAGTTCACCATCAGTGCGGGCAACACTATAATGCCGGTCTACACGGCGGAGCTCTATCCGACGCCCATACGCAACGTTGGCGTAGGCGCCTGCAATGCGGCCGCTGGCCTGGCCCTAATTCTCACTCCCTACCTGTCGCTGTTGGTATGTGTCCTGGCATGGAGAAACCCCTAACAAAGGCACCTTTAACTCTGATTAATCCGCATTTACAGAACAAGATCGAGGGTCACTTGCTGATGAGCCTGCTAACCGCCTGGAGCATCTTCGGCGGCGTCGTTGTGCTTTTCCTGCCGGAGACCGCTGTGCGCTCGAAAGCTATGACCAACCAGGGTGGCGCCAATGCCCACAATGCCCATGCCAATGCCAGTGCAGCCAAGCAGGTGTAATGACCGCTGATGCCCAAGTAAACCCTACCACTTGCTCGCCGCCCCACCTGAAGGAAGAGTGTACTTTGGCTGGTCCAAAAGTACATTGAAAATGAGCTGTCTCTGCCCCCACCCTGACCCTAGTCCCAGCCTACCCCACCTGCTGCATCTGCTGCTGCACTTGCTCACCTGCCCACCTGCCACGCTTCTAAGCCACCTGCAATTAACGGTAATCGATCCAATGAAAGTCCAAGAGTAATGCCAATTCGCTAGAGAATGTCGTATGTCAGGCAGGACCTTGTTTGCGTAGCACGTAGTGAGTATGTATCTTAACAATTAACTAACAACCATGGCTTGTAGCTTATGTCGTAGTCTAAGTACACACACTGATCAGTGATCGCTGATCGTCACCAGGAACCCTCGAAATAGTTTAAGTTCTTCGGTGATCAACCGGAGGTAAGAAACGGAAACTTAGGGAGGAATTGCAAATGCTATTTATTTGTAATATTACTGACTAATAATTTTAAACGTTTTTATTTGATTTAAATAGTTAAATCTTAATCAAAATTGAAGATATAATATTTTTTAATAAGTAAAATAAATAAATTCATTACTTGACTCTCCTTATTTACCTTAAAAATTATGTATTCCTAGATTTTTATGTAAAGATTCAGTTATTTTGAGTTTATATCATATATCTTTTTATTTTGACTCTTTTTTTATTTTTTTGTTTTATTTACATGTTTCAATAATATATTTTTGTATTTCATTTTGCATTTTTATTAATTAAAAATTGAATTAAAATTCTCCGTTTGGTGCTCCTCCCTAAGAAAAGTTTCTAAATGGATAAATAATAGCCCAGTAAAATACCCTTAAACGTATAGCCTTACAATTACTGTATTGCTAATCTAATTACAAACGAATCAATGTTCGCACAGCAAACACAAAAAAAAAACAAACAAACAAACAAAAATATATTCTTGTCAATACGTCTTGTCAATATCTCAACGTACACATAATCTCGTCGTTGTCGTTGTCGTCGTCGTCGTCGTCGTTGTCTTCTTGTTGTCTATTAATAAATGTTTTTTCCCAATACGAGATCAATAAGAAACGAAGCTGAAAGCAGACTCCAGCGGCAAATTGTAATCTCTAGTAATCGTAGTCAATTAATCCTTACCATATATACTTATATATGTACCACAGATCAGTCTCTAAGCATCGGTCAATTATGGATTTGTATATATGTCTGTTTGTGTGCAGGGACATGGAACATACAAGGAGTTTTATTGTTTAAAGAGCCATCAATGAATATATATATATGTATATGTATATGAAGAGAACTAAATCAATTTCCAATATAATGCATTTAACAATGTATACAATTATGTGTATATGGATACGTGTGCGTTTGTGTATGAATATTTAGTGAAAATAAAAACAGATCAAGAAACCAAAACAGAAGCAATCAATTAGACAACACAAAACTGTTGAATTACTTGTTGTACTTATTAAAAACCTACCAAGTTGTTATTTGCTCATTGTACGTGTATTTTTTGTATTATTTTTCGTATTTTTATTTCGCCTATTTAACTTGTATGTTGAACTTCTGTTGCCTATTGTACTTACCCGTTAAGGATCAGGATCAGGATCAGCTTCGTTATGTATTTGTTATAAGTCAGTTTTCTAAGCTTCAAATAAATGGAAGAATACTAGAATCTAATACGAAATTTAATTAACTGATAAGTTGGACGGTGTTGAGCGAATCTAAAAACACTTGAATAAATTTATGAAAATTGTTGTAAATCAAAATTACCAAAGCAAACGCGATTATAGTGTCAAAATAAAGTATGAATAAATAGATAACTTTGAATTTATGGTGTGGATGGGATATGAAAAAGATGAGGGGTAACTTTTGGAAACATTTTTCAGATTCCTCGATATAAAAGTGTTTATAACATAATTTTATAAAAAATTTTTTTAATAAATCTCTCCACTACAAGCTTTGCGGAGCTTTAAGACCTGCGCCAAGTGGAGTGATCGTGGGGTAGTCAAGGTGGTAGCTTTACCCCAATCTTTCTCGCTGCTGGCAATGCCTCTGAGCCGTCGAGCTTTCGCTCTCTTGCCAACTTACAGAGTGCTTATAACAGAGCCGCGGAACTTTTAACGGTTCCAGATCGCCGCCGACGGCTGAGAAACCAACGATCGCCGCGAGTTTCCACACAGTTCCTTTCCAATTTCCCAATCAATCGATCGATCGGAAGTCTTGGAAGTTCCAAGAAACCACTCGCTGATAGCTTCATTATGAGTGGCGTGCTGCGTCGCGGATCCCTGAATTTCGATTGCGTGGGCGGGCCGCGGGACAAGGGCAGGGGTAGCCTCGAGGCGAACCTGTATGGCGGATATCGGGAGACGAGGCCGGGTTCCAAGACTCCGGAAATCAGTGTCATTGCATTGGACTTCCGTCGCTACTCCGAGGACCTCAAGAAGCCGCCCAAGGAGGGGGAGCAGGAGAAGGACGGAGAGCAGTTACCGCCGACGGCCAGGGACCTCAGCCAGGATGCGGACAGCGATGTGATATCAAATTTCCTGGGACACTACACCCGCTGGAGCTTCCTGTGGACCCTGCTCCTCTGTCTGTTCCAGCTGCCCACCACTTTTCACCTGTTTATGTTTGTGTTCCAGGTGAGTTTTGGCTTTTATGGCTGGCCAAATATTTGCCCAGTTGATTGCGTCGCAAAACCCAATATTTTTGGTGGGCATAGTAAAGGTATATAGCTTACCCACCTCCCCCAAAAAAACACAAATAAACACACTCACTCCCCCGGAAAAAAAACATTGTGCAATTGATTGATTAATAGCTGTAAAGTGACACACACTAATAACACCCTGATTGGTTGTGATTCGGAAGTGTATCTCTTCGATGCAACTCGTTGACAATGGAGTAATTGCCAGGGGAAAGTAGTAGAGATAAATACCGTTTGGGTTATTACAAAATGCTATTTATCACCTGCTTTTGAGTAGATGAGTATGCGTAAAATGAGTAACATGGAGCTACAGCCAAAACACACGACGGAAAACAATTGATAACACACTCTCGGGGGGCTTCCACTTGAGTTGGCTGGCCGACGACTCACAATTCGCATGCCAATTTCGGCCATCACTTTCAGGCGGCGGAGGAGCACTTGGCTCGCAAACGCCACTCGAGACGCACACTGGTGACCTTGGAGCACCTTTGACCAACTTCCAGGGAGGCTGTCACCTAGCCACTTTTCCACTTGGAAGCCATTTATAGCAGGGAGTTGCGTGCGCATCATTTGCCTATGGTTTCGAGGTCCACAATCACGGTAATCGTTCGCCTAGCGTGCTAATGTCCCACTGAAACCGCACACACAGGCACACACTCACGACCTTGACACACACGATCGGTGGGCGAATAGAGCTTGGAGCCATAATCGATGTAGAAGTTGCAACAGTCATCGAAAGACACAAGAAGTTCGACCAATGGAGGGGAGGTTAATTACACTAATTGAGAGCCAATAAATTGGGCGATAAGAACAGAGATTGGCCACAGTCGACCTTAACGAGTGGCGAATGATGCAAGAGAGATCATTTGTTGGGTCATTTTCTTCAGGATAGAAGAAACCTTCTCTTAGATAGCCTTCTTTTCTTAGAGGAAATGACTTTATGACTCTATCTGAACTCCTCAAGATATGAGGTAAACTTATCGTGATTTTGTAGTTATAAAATATGTATTGATATAGCCTTCAACTAACTAGTACTTTGTTAGGTCTGATTACAATTACAAAACTATAATTATAGAGCGTATTTTTCGTGAGACTATTCTATATACAACCGAAATCAAATTGGAGCAGCTTTCCCAGAAATCAATAAATAGACATAGATATTTACCATAAAACATAATGGCAAAGATGTTATAAAATATAATCTCAAAGCAGGCAATATTTTTTGACATTTGAAAATAAAACAGATAAATTAAAAGTGCTAATTTCACACTTATATACTAAAGGTAGTAAACAAAAAGACTTTTAAAACAATAAGTGGTTTGGTTGCATTTCAGCATTAATTACCTACCCCGACTGCGGCGGCTGCTAATTCTTAACCAAATTAGAATTTAAGAGTTTATCCAGATTATTATTATAGTTTACTTGAAATATAACCCAAAAAGGTCTATAAACAATTAAAATTATTGTTGCTCTGCAACCCTTGTCCATAAATATTTAATTAAAATGTTTGTCGAACCGTTTGCTGATAACAAACCTAATGGCTTGTGCTGAGATTGCGGGTTCTACTCCGCTTATTAAAATAATCTAAGATTCACTTATCAGTTCCCCATGTGCCACTGACTTCTATTTATTCATTGGAGATAAAAAGAGAATGGTAGCGAAAAAGACAATAAGCTGGCACTTCTGGCCAATACTATTATTAAACGCATAAGACTAGTTATACTTTGGCGCCTTTTTGATAGCCTCGGCGCTATTTTCGTTTGATAGGCATAATGTTATCGGGGAAAGAAGAAACACAATAAGCAATTGTTAATGGCCGGAGAATGTAATCTGGCCGAAACCATCGTTGACATTTACATGAACCAATCAAATATAGAGACAGATAAGATTGCGGCCCCGAACTAGACCCGAAGAAAGTTCGGTTCGAAGTATAAAGATATCTTTATGCTGGCGGGATTCACCAAAAGAATTCGGCGCTTCGTGGAGTGTGCATCAGCCTTGTGGGAGGAGGAGTTGCTCAAGGCACTCCCCACGGAAAGGTCAAGTGGTTCTTTAATGACTCAAAGTTAACAAGCAATTCGTCGGCTATCGTAACATCGCGTTGTGTTGGACATTATTGTTATTATCTTTTTCGGGGTCCCCCCCCGAAATCTGTAATAACGCCGCGCCTGCATAAAACGCTGACAAAAAAAAAAGAAAAAGAGCTGAGACTCGGCCGGATCTCTCCGGGGCACACACGCACTCTCGGCTCTCGACACCTGAGCAACACCAGCGACCTGCCCAAACTGGCATCTGGATCAGCTCAAATTTGAATTTCAAAAGACACTGTCTGTGTCTCAGTTTCGAGAGCCGACATTCTAATTCAGTTGACTTGCATCGCAAGGCGCACACGGTTGCCACCTGCAGCGGGCGAGAAATGGAGCTGACGGACATGGACGTGGGATCGGGCGAGGCCTCGCCCATGCTGCAGGGCTGCGTTGATCTGGACGAGCTGGACCATCTGCACACCCGGCTGCTAGAGCGCCTCTTTGGATGCATCAGCGCCTGGCAGAGTCTCTGGTGCGGCCTGCTTTCGATCTTCCAGGCCATTTGCACCTTCCACATCTTCGTTTACGTGTTCCAGGTGAGTCCGACTCGCGAGGGTTGAGTGCTCGGCTGGAGGCCAACACCCCACAACCTGCAGTTTGGCCACCGATTCGCTCCACTGCCAACTACTCGAAGCAAACCACAACTAACAAGGTTCTGTGTTCAGTGCCCACCGCCTACCGCCCCCAATGCCAGTTATCAGTGCCTACCAGTGATAAGGTGTCTTCGAGCGCGTTATTATTATTATTTTATTATTATTTTTGCTGGCGAGACAAACCCGTTTGTGCTCCAGTGCTACTCGAGCTACTGCCTGATCGGCGAAAGATACAGTTTCAATGAGCGATTTTGAGAGCGAATATCAAATGCATTTTATTGCCCTATAATAAATGTGTTTATTAACCTGAATGTAGGGGATAAAAAGCGTTGGGTTTTTTTGGGAGACTAAAATTACTAAGCTCTAGTACACAAGATAATTTCAGTATTAATATTAACTAATAGTAAAGAGTAGCAATCAGAAACTTACTACTTGTTCTTAGTATGTTTTCAGAAAGAGAACCTAAGAACGCTTGGAAGTATGCAATGGTTTTTATACTAACTAAAGACCAGGTATTCTATGGTCAAGTAAAAGAAAAAACTAGCCTTACACAAGGTATACTATTTCTTGTTTATACTTTAAACTATATATTTCTTTTTAACATTTCCTCTATATTTTTAAAATATGGATCGATTATAGGCAAGTCTTCATTATATTAATGGGCTTAAAGTGCGCCTTAGACTAAGTAACACAACATAAGCAACCTTAACTGAACCGCTTTTGGCTTAATTATTGACACACAATAATTGGCAGTGAAGTAATAACAAATTTACACTGTCTGAGACGGCCGAAACGAGTTTGCTGTTGTACTATCCAGCACATATGTATATAAAATATCTGTTCGCCCTGCAAACCAAAAGTCGTTGATTTGCTTACACTGATTTAATGGCATATATCTGACACGGTCTTCGTGTCGGCTTGCCTTATCTTAATTGACTAAATCCGCAAATTGCACGCTTTGTGTTATTTATTGTGAAGATGACAACTTTGTGGATTATGGTAGGTCTAAGCTCTGTGGCTCAGATACCATGACAACACGATTTTCCAACGAAGCCGTGCGGCAAGACTTTTCAATTAGTTTCCACTCCCAACTGATCCATATCAGGTGGTGGTGGTTGTTTGGTGTTGGTATCGATGGTGTCGAGTCTCGGCCAGCCCAAGGTTGGGCTCGAAAGGTTACTCCCTGCCAGAGGCCAATATTGACCGCTAACTGTCTAAATATATTAATTAGACAATAATAATAAAAATACTCAGAGATACTTGGTGAGCCACTCAGCATGCCACTGGCAGGCACTGTGCGCACACTGGTCTCCAATTCGCTGGGGAAACCGAATCGGATCTGAACTGGGATTTGAAATTGCAATTTAAATACTTTCTCATCTAGGGTCAGTGGGTGACCCTGTGGCAATTAAGTTAACAACACCCCTTGAGCACCAAAGCCACATG